TTCATAAGACCACTGCCATCCATGACTTGATCATGGATGGAGGACTTGACCTGGCATGTGTGACAGAGACTTGGTTGGATGAAGCAGATGGGCCTGTCCTTGCCGCTGCTTGTCCACCAGGTTTCTCTTACGCACAGCAACCCAGGTCATGTGGGCGGGGAGGGGGGGTTGCAGTGATTTTTAGGAAGTCATTAGTTTGCACCAGGCGTCCTATTGGGAAGACCCAGTTTTCCGAGTGCATGTTCTGGAAGTTGGGCAATAGGGGCAGTACAGGATTCCTACTGGTGTACCGACCTCCCCGCTGCACCAAGGATTCCCTGCCCGAGCTGCTTCAGGTCGTGGCGGATGTCCTCCTGGAGACACCTAGCTTGGTTGTCCTAGGGGATTTTAACATCCATGCCGACACGACCTTACAAGGGGCTGCTCGGGACTTCGTGGAAAGCATGGCCTCCATGGGGCTGTCCCTGAATAAGTCTGGCCCAACCCATAGCCGCGGACATGCTTTGGACCTGGTGTTTACCTCTATGGATGTTGGTGATCTGACACTAAGTAAAAGTGAAACGAAAGAAGTGCCATGGTCAGATCACTTCCTGGTGCAACTGGACTTCTCTGCGACCCATCCCCTCTGCAGGGAGGTGGGACCAATTCGGATGGTCCGCCCCCGCCACTTAATGGATCCAAATGGTTTCCAGAGAGTGGTAGGGGATGCTTTATCCCATGTTGATGGCCTTTCAGCCGATTCCCTGGTGGCCCGCTGGAATGTGGAGTTAACCAGGGCTATTGACTGTTTGGCTCCAAAGCGCCCTCTCCGATTGCATGGAGCCCGGAGAGCCCCGTGGTTCTCCACGGATCTGAGGGCAATGAAACAATCGTTGAGACGGCTAGAGCGCCGGTGGCGGATGACCCATTCCGAATCTGACCGGACACAGGTTAGAGCTCAACGTCGAGCCTACCAAGTGGCGATAGCGACGGCGAAGAAGACGTTCTTCGCCGCCTCTATTGCATCTGCAGAAAACAGCAGCAGGAGACTTTTTCAGGTGGTTCACAATTTAGCGGAACCACCTGCGACATCTGGGCCCAGTATGGGCCACATGATCTCCTGCAATGATTTTGCAAAGTTTTTTGCAGATAAAATCGCTCAGATTTGGGAAGAAGTAGACTCCACCGTGGGAGCAGAGCCAGGGCGGGAGAGTGCTAGAGTCCTGTCTAGTCAAGTTGTGTGGGATCAATTCCAACCTGTTACCTCCGAGGATGTGGACAGGCTGCTTGGACGAGTGAAGCCAACCACCTGCCTCCTGGATCCTTGCCCATCCTGGCTTATAAAAGCTAGCCGGGAAGGACTGGGCGATGGGCTTCGTGGGGTGGTGAATGCTTCCCTCCGTGAGGGAGCCTTCCCAGACCCGCTGAAAGAGGCGGTTATTAAACCGCTTCTTAAAAAACCATCTTTAGATGCGGCCACGATGGCCAATTATCGCCCAGTCTCAAATCTTCCATTCTTGGGCAAGGTGATTGAGCGAATGGTTGCTGAACAACTCCAGGCACGCCTGGAAGAAGCGGACCATTTGGATCCCTTCCAGTCGGGATTCAGGCCTCATCATAGGACTGAAACTGCCTTGGTCGCACTGGTTGATGATCTCCGGCGGGCTAGGGACAAAGGTGAGAGCTGTTTCCTAGTTCTGCTGGATCTCTCAGCGACGTTTGATACCATCGACCATAACATCCTTCTGAACCGTCTTGAGGGGCTGGGAGCTGGGGGCACTGTCATACAGTGGTTCCGCTCCTTCCTCCTGGGCCGTGTTCAGAAAGTGGTGGTGGGGGATGAGTGTTCAGACCCCTGGGCCCTCACTTGTGGGGTGCCTCAGGGCTCTGTCCTCTCCCCCATGCTTTTCAACATTTACATGCAGCCACTGGGAGAGATCATCAGGAGGTTTGGGCTGGGTGTTCATCAGTATGCGGATGATACCCAGCTCTACCTCTCTTTTAAATCAGAACCAGTGAAGGCGGTGAAGGTCCTGTGTGAGTGCCTGGAGGCGGTTGGAGGATGGATGGCGGCTAACCGATTGAGGTTGAATCCCGACAAGACAGAAGTACTGTTTTGGGGGGACAGGAGGCGGGCAGGTGTGGAGGATTCCCTGGTCCTGAATGGGGTAACTGTGCCCCTGAAGGACCAGGTGCGCAGCCTGGGAGTCATTTTGGACTCACAGCTGTCCATGGAGGCACAGGTCAAATCTGTATCCAGGGCATCTGTTTACCAGCTCCATCTGGTACGTAGGCTGAGACCCTATCTGCCTGCGGACTGTCTCGCCAGAGTGGTACATGCTCTGGTTATCTCCCGCTTGGACTACGTGGGGCTACCTTTGAAGGTGACCCGGAAACTACAACTAATCCAGAATGCGGCAGCTAGACTGGTGACTGGGTGCGGCCGCCGAGACCATATAACACTGGTCTTGAAAGACCTACATTGGCTCCCAGTAAGTTTCCGAGCACAATTCAAAGTGTTGGTGCTGACCTTTAAAGCCCTAAACGGCCTTGGTCCAGTATATCTGAAGGAACGTCTCCACCCCCATCGTTCTGCCCGGACACTGAGGTCCAGCTCCGAGGGCCTTCTGGCGGTTCCCTCACTACGAGAGGTCAAGTTACAGGGAACCAGGCAGAGGGCCTTCTCGGTAGTGGTGCCCGCCCTGTGGAACGCCCTCCCATCAGATGTCAAAGCGATAAACAACTACCTGACATTCAGAAGACATCTGAAGGCAGCCCTGTTCAGGGAAGTTTTTAATATGTGACATTTTAGTGTATTTTTTTGTCTTTGTTGGAAGCCGCCCAGAGTGGCTGGGGAAACCCAGCCAGATGGGCGGGGTACAAATAATAAATTATTATTATTATTATAAGAAACAATGTGTCAATATTTCTCTCTCTCTGCAATGGAAAGTCTGTTCAATAAGCATATTGGATTCATTTTACATGGCATTTCATATTGTTTCATCAACTGAGATGATCACATCCCTCTGGGGTGTCTAAGAAGGGGCTCTTCCCAGCAAAGCTAGAAACAAGGCGGAGAGGACAACTCACTATTTTTTTTTGTGAGCTTTCAGATTCCCTTTTTGTTACATCTAACCTGTGATGTGTTAGCTACCAACTGCACTCTGTGTTTCTAAGGGGTGTTTATTTAGTGAATTTAATGCAAAAGGACATGATCACTATAGTGGAGGTTTTTGGGGTTTTTATTTAAATTCCCCGTGAGGCTTGTACGAAGTCAGGCACATTGTGCTGCTGCAGAAAGAATTGCACTGGCTGCCCACCAGGTGCTGGGTGAGCTTCAAGGGCTGGCATTGGTGTACAAAGCCCTGTACAAAGCTTGGGACCAGGATCCCTACCAGTCGCCTCTTTCGTTACATCCTCAGCCAATCACTGTTCTGCAGGGGAGGCACCTTGCAGATTCTGTCCTGTCAGGAGCAGGGCTGGAAGAATACGTCAATTTCAGTTCTTTCGGTTTTTCATTTCTCTAATTTTGAATTCAGTTCTCCAAATTTATGTAGCAATTTTATTTTTAATTTATTAAAAAAATCCTAGTGAGAATTATTTAGCATTTTAGTGCAAATTTCTCCTAATAAACACATTTTCGTGGGCAGTTTTGACTAATGGACACATTTTTACAGGAAATTTCTCAACATATAATGTATTTTTGCATGTTATTTTCATTTGTTATGCCCACTTTCTCCTAATATTTGCACTTTTGTAAAGATCATTTGGTTGGAGAACTGCATTGCAAAAGTTTGGATAAGTGGAAATGCCTATAGGGTTGCCATAATGTTTTGGAAGTTGGAAATTTGCTAGCATTTAAAGCAGGATGTAACTGAATCAAATTCACCCCCACCCCTAACCCAGAAGTCCATTCCACACCCCAGTGGAGTAGGCTGTATGGTGAGACCCTTCCAGTTCCTGGATCCAGGAAGGATTCAGATTCCTGGAGCAGTCAGGCTAGCTTCCTGCTGAGGTAACGGGTCATTGAGGTAACAAAGGAAGTGGCTTGGTGCCAGAGAACAAATTGGTGGGGCTGCCTCCCTTCACTTTCTGGTAGTGAGAAAGACAAAGAGTTGAGTTGCGTGAGCTGGAAGCTGGAAGCAAGGCTGCAGGCTGGGAAGCCAGGGAGTCAGAGCCATGCCTGGTTTTTGCTGGAATCTCAGGCTGTGGCTCTGGGAGAAGCAAGACCCTCTTGGGGTGTGAATGCTGCGAGCCCCTCTCTCACCTCTCAGAGACTGGGCAGGTGAGCAACCGTGTGTGTTTATTCTATTGTAGATAGCTTTGGGATGCCTCATCGGAAGTGATTTATAAATGAAATAAAAATAGTAATAGGCCAGTCAACAACAATATGGCAATGCCTATTGATCAATGGTGATCAGTGCTGATGTTTTCCTTTCACATGTGACATTCGGGGCAAATGTCCCCCATTGCTCTCCTAAGAAATTGTGTGCCTGATAGATATGGATTTTGTTCATCAGCATCATTATGGCCACTTCTCTTGAAAGAGAGACTCATAGACTCATAGAATTGCAGAGTTGGAAGAGTCATGCAGTCACAGCCCTGCACTGCAGGAATCACAGCTCACATTTATGAGCCACTTTGAGTATTTGTGCTCAGTCCTTTGAATGGCATTCCTGCCCATGAGCATTTTGTCTCACAAGCCCTGCCCCTTCCTCTGGCTGGATGTTGGCAGCCTCATTTCCAGAAGGCGAAGCCCACACTCTCAGAGTTGACGCATTTGTTGCCAGTTAGAGGAAATTTGGGCCCAAGTCTCGTTTTCTATGCATTTTCATTTAAGTCCTGATACTTTGTGACCCTTGTGCATTTTGTCACATCCATGTCCGCCCAGACACTGGCAGTTCAATATTTCGTATATTAATGTGTTTCCTCCCCTTTGATGTTCTACTGATGCCTTGGGATTAAATAGAAATGTAAATATATCATAACTGAAGCATTATTATTATTATTATTGCTTGCAGACAGAGTACCACTTTGAATACACGGAGTGTGATAGCAGTGGGTCCAGATGGAGAGTTGCAGTCCCAAACGTGGAATGTTCTGGTTTACCTGATCCTGTCAAAGGGAAGGAATGCAGTATGTATTGATGCTTTCTTGTTACAAATCTCATGTAAAGCTTGCCATTTCTAGGTTTGTTTTTTGTTGCTTACATAATCAAGCACGACTTAGGATGTGATCAAATGCCCATTTATTTGGGAGCAAACCTCACTGAGCTTAGTGGGCCTCCCTTCTAAGGAAAAACACGTAGGGATATTCTGTAGATACATTTGATATCTAGAGGGGTTTGCTGCTTCTTACTCTTTGAATATACTTACTCTGTGGGTTATTCTTAGGTTTTTGCTATTCTTAAAACCAGCCCCTTTCTCTAAAATTTTATTCTCTGACAGTGACAGCCTCCTCTCACATGTTTATAATTAAATGAACCCTAGTCCGCAGGTGTTTTCTCGCACAAGATTAAAAACTTAATTTTTAAAATTAGTTTGTTAATGCAAGTATAAAGCTAATATTTGCCAGAACGATGCTGTTTTATTTTGCCAGCCTTGAAGCATTGGTTAAAAGGTGGGTTGCACATTTTAAAATAAATGAGCATGGCTAAGATTGAAAGAGTGAGAGAGGTTGGCGTGAGGTGGCCGGGAGCTGGGCATGGGGCAGATGCACTGGCAGAGCCCATCTGGTGTTGCTGACAGTGTTTGCACCATGTCGGTCCCCCCCCCCCCAAGGTCAGGTGAATGCCACCCCCATCCCCCCCCCCCGCTGCCATCAACTGCTGCTCCTCAGACAGATGTATCTGGACTCCCCCCCCCATGGGGGAAAGGTGCATTTTGAGTGGGAAACGTCCACCTCCTCCAGATGCTCCTCTGTTCAAAACCACCTCATGGGGTGAATATTTATTTCAGAAGACCTGGCAGTGCTCACATTCAGGTATTTGCTGCGTAGGACTAGAGCTAAAGCCAGAGCTGATCTTGCTCTGAATGGTTAACAGTCCGGCTGCTGCAGCTCCCAAGCTCAGCTGGCTCTGTGACTAAGCAGAAGCCTCCCCTTTCTGTCAGGTCTCGAATGCGCCAGCAACCAGCTTAACAACAAAGGGTTTTCTGCTCTTGTTTGCGTCTGACCTTGGTGGGTTTTTTAAAGTACATTTCTGGGACACGCTGAGTGCTGCTGAGCCTGATGGCTGTTTTATCTTGAGAGGATAATGACCACAGTAGCCCAGGATGTACAAGAGATGGGGAGCCGGTGGGCGGAATAGGGGCAAGAGCCCTGGGTTCCTGGGGGAGGAGCTAAGCTCTCCTTTGAAGGAGGGGGGTGGACCAGCCAAAGAAAGGACTGGGCTTTCTCTTGCCACAGGTGTATTGCAACGCAGGGATGAGAAAAGGTATTGAAATATTGGAGAGTCAGAGAGTAGGAGATGTCAGTGTTGGGTTCTTGCTGCTCCTTTGACTTCCTGGCACCAGGATCACACGGTAGTTCAGTCTCTCTCCAGTCTGTGCCAGTTTGACTGTTGTTTGTTCATAAATCCCTTAAGTTCATAAGTTCACAACATAAAAATACTAAAAAAATGAAGAACATAAAGTACGGTACATAAAAAAGCAATACACATTTAAAATACATATTGCTTAAGAAGCCAAAGGCCTGGTTATAGAGAAACATTTTTGCCTGGCACCTAAAAATATGCAATGAAGGCACCTGGCAAGCCTCCCTGGGAAGAGGATCCCACAGACAGGGAGCCACCACAGAAAAGGCCTCGTCTTGCCACCCTCTGGGCCTCATATAGAGGAGGCACACAGAGAAGGACCTCAGAGTCTGGGACATTTTATATGGAGAGTGGTGGTCCTGGAGGTAATAAGTATCCTGAGAATATTTATTTATTTTAAAAGTTTCTAACCCTTATAATTGGGGCAATAGGCTTGAATGAGGAATGTCTTGTGAACTGATCCCAAACGATTCAAGGTCAGGGGAAGTCTGGGTGTTCGCTACCCCATGAGCGGAAGCAGCATAAATATTGACACTTGCCCAGGACATTTCTACAGGTTGCAGGATTTGGGTTCCTCAAGTGCAAAATGGTTGATTGATAGCAAGCAAGCAAGCAAGCAAGCAAGCAAAGAAGCAAGAAAACAAACAAACACACACACACACACACACACACACACACACACGGGCAACAGAAGAGCCACAGCTTTTAACGCAGGAATTTTCAAAGCGTGTTCTTCTGGGGAACTTTGGAGCTCTTTGGAAGGTTTCGGGATTTTCTCAAGGAGAACATTAACAAGGACAGGCAAACTGCCACCAAAGGCAGCTTGGTTGTAACTTGGCAACACAGAGTTTCAGAAATTGAGTGATGTTAAAACTGTGGTGGCGGGGGACTGTTACTGTGATTATTTCATGATTATGCTGTTTGTTATGTTTTTATTATTGTGCTCCATAAAATGTGCCCTTAAAATGTGCCCTTAATGTTGTACACTGCCCTGGGATCTTTTGATAAAGGACGGTATATAAATTGAATGAATAAGTTAATAACAATTGTGTTGGGCCCTTATGTGGAGGCTCAACAGGCCTGGCCAGCCCTCTCCCCCAACTGAGCTACAGTGTTGAGAGGGACCTCGGTGGGCATGCCAGCATGGAAAGAGGTCTCTGGTGATAGACAAATTACCAGCTGAAACACAAATCAAGTTGCACAGATTGTCCCGTATGTCAAAAGAGATTCATTTTGCCATTAGCCATGCTCAGCCTCAGATTGAACCAGGCAAGCAGCTGGCTTCCTCCAAGCTACTTCTGCTCATGGACATATGCATTGTGACGTGAAAAGAGCATTCTCCTGTGAAACGTGGAAATAGTTGGCCATTTGATAAAGAGACTGTAATGAAGCAGCAATGAAGGCTCCTGTAGCAGTGACGAGCCCTGAGGACATAGTGAACATAGTGTTCATCTGATGGAGGGGATGGCCTGCACAACCGCATAGGTCACAGGGATCAATCACCTGCAGATCAAGGATGACTAGCTGCATAGAATGGGGCAGGCATCCTTTACTGCATGTGCGGCAAACCTGAAAGTCAGGTTTGGTTGGAATGTGCCTGTAAACTGCATTCTTGTAGTTCCTTGCTAGCAGGTTCTTCAGAGATTAGATGGGCATTGGGAAGAATGTCTGGCCAACACGTTGCACAAGACAGCCTCCGGGGATGCGGGATGCTTTTAGATTCAAGGCCACAAGCGAACATGTTGACTGCAGAGCTTGTCTTCTCCTTCTCCTGGGCGTCTCTGGCATTTTGACATGGTGTAATTTGTGACTAGCAGATTCTGGTCATTCATGAAAAACGAATTGGTATTTAGCTGCAAAATTAAAAGCACCTTTTGGTTAAAAGGTGTGAGTGCACATTTGTGAATGGTGAAACTAAGTATCTTTGCTGCAAGTTGTCAGAAGTTGCGTTAATAAATTTTATAGTCTGTACTATTCAAAGGGCTGAAGGGAACAATTTGAAGCAACAATTTTCTACAAAGAAATTAATCTGTATGGGGTGTGTGGACTGCCGTGAACATTCAATTCTGTTATTTTTATTATTAAAAAGTGTAGATTCTTCATCATTGTTTAAGCTGTCCTCATTGTGAGATCAATGAAAATAATTTGCTAGGTGTGTCAATGGTACTATGTAGATGACCCAAATATTGTGTGCTGTCCATGTTGAATAAGGTATTGGTTTACAGAAATAAAATTCTTACGATTGAGATTTGTTTTCAGATCGGTGCTGTGGTCAACACAACTTGCCTGTAATGGATACCAGATCTGAGAAACAGGTGCCAATCAAATTTGTGATTTTATGCATTTGAGGGTTGCTGAATGCTTGTTGAGAAGATGCAATGGACCAATTGCTTGTGCCCTTAATCAGCTGTGCATGTTTTCCTTCTCAGCTTTCTCATGTGCTTCTGGGGAATACCTAGAAATGAAGAACCAGGTGTGCAGTAAATGTGCCGAAGGAACCTACTCCTTGGGAAGTGGGATCAAATTTGATGAATGGGACGAGCTGCCTGCAGGATTCACCAATGTAGCCACTTACATGGACACAGCCATGGGCTCGGCTGAGAGCAAAGCAGACAGCTGTGGCAAGTAAGGACCTTGGGGGGCTGTGTGCGCATGGCACACAGAGGCCTGGAGAAACTGTTATAACTGAGGTGCAGTGGTGCCTCTGATTTTAAATTTTCCCTTCTCTGGTATATTTATATTCATAGGAATGTTGGAAGCCGCCTTGTACAGAGTCAGACCATTAGTCCATCCAGCTCAGTATTGTTTGACTGGCAGCAGCTCCACATGGTTTCGGGCTGGGAGATGCTGGGGACTAAGCCTGGCACCCTTTGCATGAGAAATAGGCACTCTACCACTCTACGGCTGTTGCCCACTCTTCCTAAGTTCAGAGTGGCTTACATGGTCTTCTAGCACTGACCAGGTCCAAGCACTCTGAGCTGGAATAATGCTGCAGAACCAGCGGCTCTCATGCAATTTACGGGGTCTCAACTCATTGACTGAAATGGTAACAATGCACAAAGGGCCCGGTGCTCAGAAATGTATGTAGTGGTCTTCCTTCAAGGAGTTGACACCACCACTTGGACCTCAGAAGTAGCTGTGAGAAGCAATTTAATATTATTTTTGTAGGTCCAAGACTGCCAAGCTGATCAACAGGGAAGGGGAAATTTTCAAAAGGAACCCACTGCATCTTGGAGAAATGGTCTCCTGATAGAATGTTAGTTGCAAAATGTCTTTTATTTCTAGAAAGCTTGAAAAGCAATTGAATAATAATAATAATAATAATAATAATAATAATAATAATAATTTATTATTTATACCCCGCCCATCTGGCTGGGCCTCCCCAGCCACTCTGGGCGGCTTCCATAAAAACCAAAAATACAATAAAATATCACATGTTAAAAACTTCCCTGAACAGGGCTGCCTTAAGATGTCTCTTGAATGTCAGGTAGTTATTTATCACTTTGACATCTGCTGGAAGGGCGTTCCACAGGGTGGGCGCCACTACCGAGAAGGCCCTCTGCCTGGTTCCCTGTAGCTTTGCTTCTCGCAATGAGGGAACCGCCAGAATAACATTCTGTTGTCCTCCTAATGTATCAGTGAATGTTTCCCTGTCATCGCTGTATAGGAATTGTAGCTAACACAAATCAGCTGCAAAATTTAATATTTTCTAGACCAGGGGTCTGCAACCCGCGGCTCCGGAGCCGCATGTGGCTCTTTTACATCTTTGCCGCGGCTCCGGGGCAGATACTAGTGAGGGGAGGAGGTGCATTGTGCGCCCCCACACTCCCCACTGTGGGGGGCGCTGTACTGGCTGTGACGTCGCATGGGGGCAGTGCGTGCATTAGTCACGCACCGTCCCGACGTCACCTTCCCGCCCGCTGTCAGATCGCGGCTCCGGAGATATATTTGTTTTAAATGTCGCAATGGTTTTGCGGCTCCCAGTTGTTGTTTTTTCTTCGGAAACGGGTCCAAGTGGCTCTTTTTGTCTTAAAGGTTGCAGACCCCTGTTCTAGACAAAGAGAAGTGATGGATAAGAAGCTCTTTTATATTCTTGTCTTTATTTTCCCAGGATTTTTACTGCAGCAGATCATTAAGTAGCATATGGGTTAAATATGCCTGATAGATGGATATTTATGGTGCCTATGGTCCATGGGGTCACGAAGAGTCGGACACGACTAAACGACTAAACAACAACATATTGTAAAACAATTCTTGTTTCTGCTCATGTTTGCTCAGATCATCATGGACTCCTCGTGGGAATTACATTGAGTCAAACAGGGACGACTGCACCGTCTCCTTGATCTACACGGTGCACCTGAAGAAGTCGGGTTCCGTCATCTTTGAATACCAGTATATTGACAACAACATCTTCTTTGAGTTTTTTGTAAGGGGGATTTGTGCACTAAATCTACACTAAGGCTAAACTGCAGAGGCAGTCTTCTGAAAAGAACTCTCACAGCTTATTTTTGAGGCAGTTTATTGGCATCCCGAGTGTCTTTGCCTCTGTGAGGCTTATCGAAATGTGAATCTGCCTTATACTGAGACAGACCACTGACTTTATTTAGCCCACTGCTGATTCACAGCTGCCCCCAAAATATGCTTTGCATAGACTCATAGAATCGTAGAGTTGGAAGGGACTCCAAGGGTCATCTAGTTCAAGGCAGTAATCTCAACTGAAGCATCCATGACAGATGATATTATTATTATTATTATTATTATTATTATTATTATTATTATTATTATTATTACCCCACCCATCTGACTGGGTTGCCCCAGCCACTCTGGGCTCTGGCCTCCAATGAAGGAGAGCCCACCACCTCCTGAGGGAGACTGTTCCACTGTTGAATAGCTCTTACTGTCCAAAAGTTCTTCCTGATGTTTAGTTGGAATCTCCTTTCTTGTAACCTGAATCCGTTGGTTCGGATGGTCCTCCCCTCCAGAGCAGGAGAAAGCAAGCTCATTCCCTCATCCATGTGACGTCCCTTGATATATTTGAAGATGGCTATCATATCTCCTCTCAGTCTCCTAAACTTCCCCAACTCCCTCTTCCTCATAAGGTTTGGTTTCCAAACCCATGTTCACCTTGGTTGCCCTCGTCTGCACATGGAATAGAGTGGGACTATTACTTCCCTTGACCTGGACACTATGCCTCTGCCAACTTGAGTCCTTCCCAGATTCACAGAGGAAGTGTTTATATGGTGTCTAGATGCTGAGAAGTCTAGTTTAGCCAAATGATTTAAGTGCTTTTTGGTCATCTTGTCTCAAGCACATCAAAACCTATGGCCTGTCTCAAACGCTTGCTGAATATCCTTCCTTCCCAAAGCTGCTGGCAAACTCATGATCCAGCTTGGAATGCATGGAGATTCTGGATGTAGGAAGTGTATCCTCTATATGGGTTTGTTGGCAGCTGGTGGCAGCTTGCCCAAAGGCCGCTGATTGTGTTGATCCCAGTGGCCATGTGTCTAACCTCCGTGTGCGGATTCATACTGTTCATGACTGGCTGGATCTATAGTTTTTCCAGAGGGCCCTTATCGACACCTGTTGATGCAGGTGGAGGTGTTTCATGCCAAGAACCAGAAACTCCACAGCCTTTTATCCTATAGAGCAGCCAATGGCTAGTTTACAAACCTTCCAGTATGAGTGAGTTCAGGGACTCCCCATGCCAACAAATCTACATGTTGGCATGGTAAAGATATGTACAGGCCAAACTCAGCCAATAACGCTCTAAAATGTAGAGACTGTAATACTTTGGATTAATTGGGTTGTAGCTAAGGCACTCTGTCATTTTATTTACATGACTGGAAAGAGAGCCTGGAGCAGCCCAGGAACCACCCACTCCAGAACTTTGCCCAAGAATTTTTTAGATTTTCTGGGTCCAGCTGGCCTTTCTTAAGGCGTGATTTTGCCATTGCCTCAGTTAGGCTGGCAGGGACTAGCCCCTTTCTAACACAAGAGGCCCACCTTGTAACTCCCTGACAGCCTCTCTGTCTTCACAGTCCCTGGCAGGAAGAGAAAGTCTGGCTTCTGGTGAGTCTGGCAGGCAGATGCGTTGGGTGGCCTTGCCTTCGGCTTTGGTTCAAAAGGAGGGCTGGCACCTGACTTGAAACAAAAATGTGATGTAGCTGGGGACTTTTTCTTCGTCTTTTTTGCAGTTTCCAGAGCATCTTGTGTGAAAGACAGAATTTTGGCTGGGTTCCCAGAATTGTTTGAGTGAACCTTGGGTGTTTCCTAAGTTAAAGTCAGCCAATGCATCTTTACACAAATTGCACTGCATATGAACCGTGAAATGTAGGACAGACCATGTTGCTCACCTGCATTTCTCCCCAGATTGTTGAATGTGCGACTGGCAGGTGCCTGGGTGTGCTGTCTCTCTAATTCCCCCACTGCAGGATTTGCTGAGCCGAGGGAGGCGAGGTGGGTGGTGCCAACGCAATGTGACAGCTTGGCAGCTGCGGGCATTGCTCTCCCGCCCACTTACCTTCCTGCACAACTCCTTCACTTGGCATTAGGATCTGCCGGCAGAAGTCACAGGAGCAAAAAATGTCTGCTCTCACCAATGTTCAAAAAGTCCAGCCCCTTTACGCCCCCACAGCTCTGTCCCTAGCACTGCCCAGGCCCCATGATTTTTGAAATCAAAAGCTGGCATCCCTGACTTGCAGATTATGCAAGCTCACAGCCAGTTCCAGCCACTGGGCCAAGTGACCTCTTTCTATATGAACTCAGAAGCCTGACCTGGGTCTAGCCATTATTTTAATTCCCTAAAGCGATGCTGGATCAGGGGTTCTGTGGAAAATGAAAGGGGTGGCTAACTCCGGCTGTCTGGCACTGCCATGAGTGCTGGTACAGAAAAAAATAAGGGAGACCAGGGCAGGCATCCGCATTGGGCTGTGGCGGGTTCTCTGGTTGTCAGGTGCTGATGCCCTTTGCCGGCCTGCTGTCTAATGGGCATCACAAACGCCAGGGGAGTGAGGGGAGCTCCTAATTCATGTTGCCGCCTTGTGCATTCAAACAATGCTGTGCAGGTGGCTGGATGAAAGTAGAGGAAGACTAAAGAAGTGGAGGATGGAAAATGTTCCTCTTGCTCATCTCCCCCCCCCCCCCGCTTTGTGTGAGGGATGAATCACTCCTGTTTCTCCTGCTGCCACAAAGGGCGTTTGGCCCTAATTAACATTTGCAGACTGTTTGGAGACAATGAGATGCGGCACTGTGGGCAGGAAGCTCCATGTGCCAGCTCCTTCTATGCGGCAGGCATGGAAACATGGGCAGAACAAGCATGCCGCCCAAGGCACCTTCCTTCTGTTGGTTCAATACCATCCATTGCCCTTCGCTAATAAGACGGGTACGTGCTCACAGGAGATGTCTTTTGAGGTACTGTCTATATTTTTAACCATACCGGCTTGTTAAGGTTCTGAAAAAGGAAGCCACAAGTGATTCTGCTGCAGTTACATTAATTTGCTTCCAGATACACACTTGTAGCAGCCGCTTGGCTGGGCAGCAATTGATTTCTTTCTTTCTCACAGGAAAGCAAAAGCATCGACTGCCTGAGTACGAGGCCCAAGAATCACTTCCAGCCAATGACTGACGTTGATCAAAGCATCCTTGATAGCTTTTCTGCACTCTGGGGATGCCGTCTTTAAGTCTCATTAAGCAAGAGCAGCTCTAGTGTAGCAGTTAGACCAGGAGCCACTGAGGGGAAACACAGACAGACAGACAGACAGACAGACAGACAGACAGACAGACAGACAGACATCTAGCGCCATACTTAGGCAGATGCGCAGGCTGGGTGTCTGAACTTGCCCAAACCTCCCCTGACTCTGCTCCTTCCTCAAACCTGAGACTCGCTTTGGGGTGTCAGAGAATTCCAATGAAAATGGGAGCAGGAGCAAAAATGGCTGATGCTTGCTTATTTCTCCCATGTCCAGAAAGGAAATCAGTCCAGTGAATGGAATCTGTATTTGCTGTTGTTCTTGCTTTCGGGCCACAAATGAGTAGTCATTGTTTACATTTCCCCATATTTGCATTCCGTTTCCTTTGCACTGAAAATAATGGGATGGAATAATGTAACAACAATATATGTACATTTTTATTTTATTTTATTATTTTATTTTATATTTCTAGAACACCCCCCCCACCATTTACAATATAAAAACACAAAAATATACAACATAGTAACAAACAAACAAACAAACCCCAAACCCAGTTTAAAAGGCCATGGATTGTTTAATTGGCCAAAGGCTTGGGAGAAGAGGAACACTTTTGCCTGGCACCTAAAGGTGTATAGCAAAGGTGCCAGACAAGCCTCCCTGGGGAGAGCACCCCACAAATGGGAAGACCCGTTCTCAGGTTGCCAGCCTGCGGACCTCATGCAGACGAGGCACATGAAGAAGGACCTCCGGTGATGATCTGGATTGGTTCATACGGGGAGAGGCAGTCCTTGAGGTGCTGCAGTCTCTGCTGTCGGGCCAGAATTGATGCTCTATATACTCTGGTGAGCAACCTGGCCACTGAATCCTGCATGGGCCAAAGTTTTGAACCATCTTCAAATGCAGCTCCACATATAGCGCAGTGCAGTAATCTAGTTACATTTTTTAAAATTTGTGTTTCTGATACATTTCAACTAATCTAGTTACACTGAGTTACGTGAATGGATAAGTTACTTAATTTCACCACAGTGGACAGCGGGATGAACAATTTTTCACGGAAGACGAACTGCAGCAAAACAGAATCTGAATCATAGAATTGCAGAGTTGGAAGGGACCCCAAGGGTCACCTAGTCCAATGCAGGAATCTCGGCTAAAGAATCCCTGGCCGATGGCCGTCCAAGCTCTGCTTAGAAACCTCCAGGGAAGGGGAGTCCACCGCCTCTGGTGGGAATCTGCTCCACTCTTGAACGGCTCTTCCTGTCTGAAAGTTCTTCCTGATGTTCAGTCGGAATCTCCTTTCCTGTAACCTGAATCCATTGGTTTGAAATGGAACTGCCTGTGGAATGAAAAATGAGGCCTTCTTGCAGCTCGTTTCACAAGGCAGAATATTATTTTTAGACACCATTATGTCTATAATCACCTTTAAAAGCTCTTTTATTTCCTTGTAGTTAGTTACTCCATAAAGCAAGGTCCAATTTTTCTGTAAGACATGGTTGATGTTTTTTAAAAATTAATTATGTCAGTATGGCTCACATAGAGGAACTTTCCTGTGGATGTTACCCCTGTCAGCTTAGAAGATGCTCTGTCTCACTTTGTCACAGGTTTGTTCTTCTGAGCATAAGGGTTTCTGATTAAGCACCTCTCTCCCCTCTTTCTTTTTACTCCAGTGTAGTTACCACAAAGATGCTTGAAATGTGAAGCTTAGGCTCCCCCCCAACCCCACAGAGGCCTCCAACATCACTGCTCTAGATGAAATAGCATGTTATTATCACTTTTCTTAAATTCCTGCTGTTACAGAATAGCCAGTCATTTTGCCTGCACTGCTATTGAACAATTTTGCTATTCTCCTGAACAGTTATTTGCTAGCAAGTAAAGTAAAAGTGCCCTGCAGGGGAGCCTCCCCCTCATGCGCGGCCACAGAAGATACTCAGGAATCAGCAAAGCCAGCCATCTCTGCCTGCCAGGTGGCCCGGCTGCGGGAGAGAGGGATGCATCAATTCAGACCAAATCAGCATCTTTTCAGTTTCCAAGTATCCATTGCAACTGTGTTTGAAAACATATTTGGAAAGTTTGGATTCATTTGCTGGATCAGGCCAATGATCCGCCCAAGCCAGCATTTTGTCTCTGGCCCATTCAGCCCACGGTTGCTCCCTGCCCGTGCTGGTGGCAGGTGCCTGAGGTCTGTCCCAGCACTGATCTCTGAGATCCTTCTGCCTTCTGATTTAGAGACAGGCCGCTATAAACATAGAGGCTTCCTCCTTTTTTGCCACAGGTAATAGGGGGGAATCCCAGCTTTTGCAGGGGTTCTGCCCCTGCCCTGCCTCATTCTTCCCCATTCCACCCCAGTCCCCTTTCAGCGCATTAAGCACATGATTTGCACGTTAAGGAGATGCCTGCAGTCCTCTCTGGACCTCCAGGCAGATTTGGGGGAGCCAACCAGTTCAGTTGCATGGGACATGGAGCCGGGGGGGTGGGTTTGCTGGAGATGCTGCAGCTATGATTTAGAAAGGAGTGCGAGAGGCGTCAGGGTGCTGAATTTTGGTGTCACACAGGGTGCCACTGAAATTTGAGACCCCAAGATCTGCCACTCATGAATCTATTCCCCCCCCCAGCAAACCCAACGATAACTCAATCAGATCATGACCACCACCGCATTTTGTGGCAGCGAATTTCACAAATTCAGTTAGATATTGCATTGTACAATGCTTTCCTAGCCTTGAAGCTGCTGTTGATCAACTGTTTAGCACGGCATGCATGTGTAAAGTGAATCAAGGCCTACAGCCATGATCGGCAACCTGTGAGCCTCCAGACCTTGTTGGGCTGCACCTCCCATCAGCTCTAAGCCGTGGCCATACTGGTGTCCAATGAATGGGGGGGGGGCACAGGTTGCCTTGCCAGGACTAGAGGAATCCAGCTGGCTTTTGGGTGCTGCTGCAGAGCAGGATGTAAGTGAAGTCCTGGTCAAGTATTCAACTCCTACATGTAAATAAGTGTGGGAGAGGAAGCAGGATTATGCTGGCCAGCCCTGCCCCTTTAAGGTTCATCACCTTTTTCATTCTTTACAGCCCCCCAAATTTGAGGCTCAAGGTCTGAAGCAGAGAGCCTTCTCTGCTATGGAGACTCTTCCCATGATCTAGGTGCCTACTTGTGTGAATGAGGAATTGTCCTATTCCAAGGGGATAGCATATCATGTGAGCCATGAGCTCACTCAGTAACCTTAGGAAAGGCTGTGTTGTCTCCACTCACACTCCTCCCACCCCACTCTGGAATAATAATGACTTAACAGTTTGGGTTTACTGGGTGGCAAAGGTAAAAAGGGTTGCAGGTCGTGCTGTGGTCTAAACCACTGAGCCTCTTGGGCTTGCTGATCAGAAGGTCAGCAGTTTGAATCCACACGATGGGTGAGCTCCCATTGCTCTGTTTGAGCTCCTGGCAACCTAGCAGTTTAAAACCATACCAGTGCAAGTAGATAAATAGATACTGCCGTAGTGGGAAGGTAAAAGGGCATTTCCATGTTCTCTGACTTCTGTCATGGTTGTCCGTTGTGCCAGAAATGATTTAGTCATGCTGGCCACTTGATGTAGAAAGCTGTCTGTGGACAAATGCCAGCTCCCTCAGCCTGAAAGCATAGATGAGAACCGCAACCCCATAGTCGCCTTTGACTGGACTTCACTGTCCAGGGGTCCTTTACCTGTTTATCTTACCTTACTGGCTGGCACAAGGATTACTGAGATGCATGTGAGGGGTTTTTGAAAACATTCAAAGTGTTACAAAAATATTGCTTCTGTTATTGGCTGACAGCAAATTAACTCAATATCTGAAAGCTCCCATTTTTTAAATCGATAGATTCAGAATGATCAGTGCCAAGAGATGGACTCCACAAGCGATAAATGGATGAAGCTGACAGATAATGGCGAATGGGGCTCCCATTCTGTGAGTATAATGTTTCATGGCTTGGTGAATAGAATCATAGAATCATAGAATTGTAGACTTGGAAGGGACCCCAGGTGTCATCTAGTCCAACCCCCTGCAATGCAGGGATCTCAGCTGAAGTATCCATGACAGATGGCCACCCAACCTCTGCTTAAAAACCTCCAAGGAAGGAGAGCCCACCACCTCCCAAGGGAAACTGTTCCACTCCTTTCTTGTAACTTGAAGCTACAGTGGTACCTTGGTTTACGAACTTAATCTGTGCTGGAAGTCCGTTCTTAAACCAAAGTGTTCTTAAACCAAGGCCTGCTTTCCTATAGCAGCGGGGGACTCAATTTACAAATGGAACACACTCAACAGGAAGCGAAATGTTCAACAGGAAGCGAAAAGTTCACAAACCAAAACACCTACTTCCAGGTTTGCAGCATTCTTAATCCAAGTTGTTCATAAACTAAGCTGTTCTTAAACCAAAGTACCACTGTATTGGTTTCTGTCCCATCCTCCATCTTCCATGTGACAGACTTGAGATATTTGAAGGTAGCTATCATATTTCTTCTCAGTCGCCTCTTTTCCTAGCTAAACATACCCAGCTCCTTCAACCTTTCCTCATAAGACTTTCCCAATCCTTGATCATCCTGGTCACCCTCCTCTGCACGTGAGTATCAACCTCTTTCTTAAATTGTGGTGCCCAGAATTGGACACAGTATTCCAGGTGTGGTCTGACCAAGGCAGAATAGAATGGGCCTCTGACATTCCTTGATCTGGACATTAGACTTCTGTGGATGCATCCTAGAATAGATATAGTGGAAACCTGATCATCTCGTGATTGGATGTCTTTTTCACTCTGTAGTTCTCTGAACCCCATCAAGGAACTGACTGATTTCCTATCAGCAACCCATACCCTCAAAATCTTATTTCCTACATGCAGTGGTGTAGCATGGGGGGTGCCAGGGGTGCCAGCCGCACCGGGCGCAACATCTGGGGGGGGGCGTGAGTCCAGAGGGAAGGGACAAGTTCCTTCCTCCACCGGGCTCCCCGCCGCCACCGCCAGCCTTGCGCCCTAGCGCGCGCGCGCCCCCCGCCGCCGCCGCTGCTGCGGCTGCGCTCCACTCACTGCTCGCAGGAGGAGCAGCCGCTGCAGCAGCGCCGAGGCCACCACCGACGCCTGGCCGGGCACGGGCAGCCTCCGCACCCCGACGCCAACGCCATCCCCTCGGCCCAGTCACAGGCGGCGGCTGCTTCTGCCGACTGGGAGGGAGGAGAGCTCCGAGGGGCCTCGCCGCGCCCTGCACTCCTCAAAACTCAAAAAAAAGAGGAAGCCGGCGGGCGGGCGAGGGTCTCCCGGCAGAAGGGGGCGCCGCTGGCTCCGGCTCTCAGCGCAAGTCTCAGCCGCGGGGGGGGGGGGGCGGCGAGGACGGAGTGCGGCTGGAAGCCCCCGGACCCGGCCGGGAGGAGGAGAGGCGCTCGCCAAGCCCGGATCTGGAGCGCCTCGGAGCGCGGGCTCCACTTACAGCCCAAGGAGAGGAGGGGGCGGGGAGGCGCCCAAGGGGAGGGGGCTTCGGCTGCCTCGGCCCGCGGGGGCTCCGCAAATAATAAATTTAATAAATTCCTGCTGAGCCTTTGGGGGGGGGTCCTTGGCTCCTTCGCTCGCCCCCAGCCCCAGTGGCGTAGCGTGGGGGGTGCAGGGGGGCCGGCTGCAACATCTGGGGGGGGCACGCTCGCACTCGAGTGCTAAAATCCACGGGTTAGGGGGCGCAAATTACTTGCCTTGCCCCGGGTGCTGACAACCCACGCTACGCCACTGCCTACATGCCCCTACATGCTGTGGCGCTGTGGGGCCTGGCTGCTTTCCCTGCAGAAGCAGGATTCAACCTCCCCTCCCTCCCATCAGCTGATGTCTGGGCAGTTCAATCCTGCTTGGTTTTGGTGCAAAAGAGTTCCATGCTGAAAACTCTCTTGCACATCCACAACCTGCAGGAAGCAGGATTGAACCCCCCCCCTCTCACTCATAAGCCAATGACAAGGGAGATAAGTTCTGCCTGATAAGTATCTTTATCCTACCCTCACAAGCCAACTTTGACAGGTGGGTGGGATCACCTGATGTCTATCCCCTGTAGGCTGGCAGGGAGATAGAGACAAAACCGTTCCTCCACTTGCTTCATGTGGCTGCATCACTCAAAATTCCAAAGGGTTCACTGTAAAGATAAAAAGTTCAAATTTTTGAGACTGAATGAAGGATCATTCTCAGAACCACACAGAAAAAGAATCACCTTGTGTGAGCTGTGTCTAGGCCTGAGGCAGAGTTTCTCCTTTTATTTGCATGCTGATACCTTATCTCACATTTTTATTCCATGTCAAACCCATGAGCTGAGTAAACAGGGCAAGGCTTCATTTCTCTTTTCTGGGTGAGGGGAGAAAACGAAACCTCTGTATGTGTTTTAAGCAGACCTGTCAGTATGTTTGACTGAATTGTTTGCTCTCTAGGTCCTTTAAACTAGTTCAACAAAACTGGGGTGTGGTTTCTCAAAGATTCTTGTGCCTCCTTGTCTCTTTTAGCTCCAAGGCAAAAAGTACTCTGTTTTCAAGTACCCTGTTTTACTTCTTGGAATTTGCAGCAACAGTGGGGTGTGGTTGTTTTTTCATTTACTCCTTGGTAGTTGCAAAGTCCGAAGCAGCAACCGGTGTGCGTGAGGATTCTCCCAGGGGTAGCTTGGCTTTGTGCAGTGATGTCAAGCTTCAGCAAGCCTTTCTGCGTCGACTTTTTCCATTCAAGGAATGCTCACCTATGTGCTTGGACACATGCACAGATCATGTAAAATGCTGGTTGGCGGGGGCAGCCCGTCTCGTCTTGCCGCCTTGGGTGACGTGCCTTAGTGCTGCTCCCGCTGCTGCCACCCTTCTGCTAAAGCCTCGCTTTCTGGGGTTCTACAGCAGCTTCTCCTGAGATCCTGTGGCATTCTTGTGAGATCTTGCCGGAAGCCGCTGTCGCCACTTCTCACTTCTCTGGCAGTGGTGGCAGGAGCAGGTTTTCCACTTCTCAAGGTGGCTGCCTCGGCCCAGGGCAGCTGCACATGGGAGGGGAAAACTGGGAGCAGTGACCAAGCAGTGAGGAAGCATCATGGAAACTTGTCTGCAAATTCCTGTTCTCATTGGAGAGACACCACATAGCTTTCCAGGGAACCCCAAAGTTCCCTGGAGCACAGTTTGAAGTCACTGCTCTTGCCTAACATCCTGGAGTAACTATGACACCAAATGAGGCCAATGAGGAAGAGACCCCATTTGGTAAAGCAGAGTGGACTTTGGGCTGATGAACATGAGCAGCAAAATGACACTGACAGTCCTTCCTGGACTGTTCTACTCCCCTCTGCAGATGGGGAGTTGCATTTGGAATACCTCCCTGTCTTAATAACATCCCTTCCTGAATGTAAAAAGCTAGTACTTTGGGGAAACACGTTAGATCCTTTATCCCTGGTAGGAGACATTTCTAAATCGAGGGGATTGGGGATAGAGGGATAGCCTTGGAGGAGAAACACCTGGGTTGAGGACGGTGGTCACCAGGGAAGTCTCTCACCTTCACCCACATCAAAGAGCTGTGAGGAAAAGATGAGATAAAGCCATCTATCTATCTATCTATCTATCTATCTATCTATCTATCTATCATCTCTCTCTCTATCTATCTATCTATCTATCTCTCTATCTATCATCTATCATCTATCTATCTATCATCTATCATCTATCTATCTATCTATCTATCTATCTATCTATCTATCTATCTATCTATCTATCATCTATCTATCATCTATCTATCTATCATCTATCTATCTATCTATCTATCTATCTATCTATCTATCTATCTATCTATCTATCTATCATCTATATCTATCTATCTATCATCTATCTATCTATCTATCTATCTATCTATCTATCTATCTATCTATCTATCATCTATCTATCATCTATCTATCTATCTATCTATCATCTATCTATCTATCATCTATATCTATCTATCTATCTATCTATCTATCATCTATCTATCTATCTATCTATCATCTATCTATCTATCATCTATCTATCATCTATCTATCTATCTATCTATCTATCTATCTATCTATCTATCTATCATCTATCTATCTATCATCTATATCTATCTATCTATCATCTATCTATCTATCTATCATCTATCTATCATCTATCTATCTATCATCTATCTATCTCTACCTATCATCTATCCCCCACAGGCCTGAATAAAAATAAGATATGCAACTTTTTTTATTTGCCATTTGAAGTGAAATAATCCAGGAAGGCCTTGCTCGGTGTCTTTCTGATAGTTTAGTTCCTCTCTTAATATCTGTTCTAGGGAGTGCTGGGTCAGACCATTGTGTGCTCAGGGGCAGCTCCGAACTGTTAGTCAACCCATACCCTGGTACGCACAAGTCTATATCATGTTCATATCAGGGTGAGGTTTGAATGACCTTTTCGTGTGTGTTTTTGTGTTTGTCTCTTCTCAGGTAACGTTGAAATCTGGCACTAATGTATTATACTGGAGAACAACAGGAATCCTTATGAGTTCTCAGGTGGTGAAGCCTGTCCTCCTGAAAAACATCACCATTGAAGGTACAAAGCAGGAGTTGGCAACCTTTTCTCTCTATCGAGGGCCACATGCCCCAGGAACAAACTGCCAGGGGCCGCCTGCTGATGGTGGACAGAGCCAGAGACACAGTGTTCTGGATCTACTAATCCAGAAAAAAGGCTTCATCACACAAATATTCACCATGGCTGCCACATATTACAATTCCCAATTCTATGCCAGTCTACTCAGAAGGAAACTCCACTGGGTTTGGTGGGATTACTCTCAAACGTACAAAGGGGATGGGTTTAGTAAAACATGTCAAGAACCAGTGCCCTAAGACTCGGGACACCCCATCTTGTTCCTTCAGCAGAGTAGCAGAACTTTGGCAACGCTTGAATTCCAAAAAGACACAGAGAGCAGGAAATGTCTTTAGTAGAGATTTACTAAGGCATAAAGTTGGTTGCTAGCTCCCTAGCAAGGCAAAACTTAGATCATTTAGAGCAAATCCAGTTCCCAGCAGTAAAAAACAAACAAAACAAATATAAATGCAAAAACAAAATAGCAGTAGGAGAAAGAGAGAGAAAGAGAATAACAGAGTCCCCTGGGCAGACAGTGTGTCTCTGGAGCGAAAGGCCTTGAAGTTTAGAGATAGCCCAGCAGGAAAATAACATCTGTGCTTTCTCTGCCTCTGAGAAGACCTGAGAACCTTTAAAACACTAGAATGTCCCAGAATGTTTCCTGGGGGCCTATGTACTTCACAAAACTTATTCCCTGACAAAACATCCATACAATATGCTGCTCTGAAAAGCAAGTGAACAGTACAGTAATCCCTTTCTGATATAAATGTCACCCACCCCTAGCAGAAGCTTATGGATTTCTTCTTAGACAACTGGGGAGGGGGGATTTGAGCAGCGTACACACTAATCTATTCACAGCACAAAAACTGTATTTCCCCCCAGTCTGGAATGATACATGTTCATGCTCAATGTGCTGCTTTAAATCTAGATTGATTCTAGATCCTTCTAGATCCACCAGGGTGGGTGTGGTTACTTCACCAGTGTGTGAACTCCCTGCCCCTCCCAGTACATTATCTACATTTCTCCCATGCCCCAGTCGCTGAAGAAGGAAGTACCTGTTGCTCTCTTGCCATTCCTCCACCCCAAGCAAACTAATCTTAACTAACAATCACCACCACCACAACTAAGTGGCAGGGCAAACCATCCATGAGAAAGTGAGGTTTTTAATTTAAAGGGAAAAACTAAAGGAAGGTCAGGCTGCATACTTTGTGTCTCACTTTCCTTTCCACAACAAGCTTCTTTAGGTTGGGAGAACAGATACAGCAAATTTGTCTTGTTTTGTGTTACTCCTCTTTCTCACCGCGATCTGTACTGGACTTTAGTTTAGACAATATGCTTTTGGAATGCCTCAGTTACAGGATGACTGCTGACCTCTGTTGGGGATAACTAGATTTGCAGTGATACCAATATACATACTGTATACCTAGAAGATTTGCATTTAGGATTTGCAGGAGCATGGGCGTACTCCTGGAAGTGGAAATATCACTTTGAGATATTGTCATCAGAAGCAATTAATAAATGGAACAAAATAAATGAAAATGAAATTCATATGCCACACCTTTCTCGGCTTCCATGCGGGCACACGTTCCTTGTCTTGTGGCAAGTGGCTTTGGAACAGAGATTCCACTATAGTTTGGGATATATTTAGGAACATGCATCCTAGAGCAACACATTTCAGAGGTGTGATAAAGTCAGTCATTGACAATTAGGGGTGAATGAATAAGTTTTTTTTTTGTTTTTTAAACAGACTTCATGTTACGTTTGCATGTCTTCTTTCTGCAAATAGTACACATATTGAAACATTTTTATTTCAAAATATGTATTTTGTGATATATTTTATCTGAAAACATGCATTTTGTTGTGTTTTTTTTGAGCCAAGTAGTGTATCACAATTTTTTAAGAAGTGTGAAGATAAGAATGCAGTGCTTGGATACTTCTTTCCTTAAGTCATGCTGAGCCTAATGAATTGGGTCTAATGCTGTTGCCTTTGCTTCTATACTTGCTGAATTGCATTTGCTTTATAGGAGTGGCCTATACATCCGAATGCTTTCCCTGCAAACCTGGCACATTCAGCAACACACCTGGCTCTTCCACTTGCCAGCTCTGTCCTAGGAATACATACTCGGAAAAGGGTGCCAAGGAATGCACCAAGTGCCAGGAAGAAACACATTATGCAGGTATCGTGGAGAGATCTGAAAGGCTGGGTCCAGTTCAAATTAACCGTACACTGTCATGTCAGAATAGGATTTTGTAGCCATGTCTACAATTCTGATTTGTGGTTATTTTTGTCCCCTCCAGCCCCAAAATGTTGTATGAGAATGTCCCGTGATACGTCTAGCTGAGGAGGTTGTGGAAAGGGCTGCTTCATAGATGAAGTGGTGTCGAGAGATTCTAAAGAGAATTTGCCCTTAAATCTAAGATAGCAAAGACATGTTGAGGACTGCAAATCGTTTTCCTAGAGAGGGTCTCCTTGAAAAGGATTTGATGATTGGTTCAAAAATGCTGGACTTTGCTGTCTCCTCCAAATGGCGTGGCACCTCTCTGTGCATGCTGTTTGGGGAATCCAGATCTCTCTTGTCTCTCAATAGAATATACAATGGGGAGGGCTGTGGGTCAGGGGCAGAGCATCTGGCTTGCATTCAGAAAGTCCCAGGCTCATGTGAACAGGATCTCAGGGTCCGAATAGACCACAAGCGTAACATGAATCAACAGTGTGATGCAGCAGCAGCAGCAAACAAATGAATGAACAAACCCAAATGCTGTTCTAGGGTGCATCAACAGAAGTAGAAATCAAGGGAAGTAACAGTTTCACTCTATTCTGCTTTGGTCAGAAGTGGAGTCATAGAATCATAGAAGTGTAGACTTGGAAGGGACCCTAAGGGTCATCAAGACTTGGAAGGGACCCTAAGGGTCATCAAGACTTGGAAGGGACCCAAGGGTCATCTAGTCCAAGCCATTGCAATGCAGGAATCTCAGCTGAAGCATCCATGACAGACACCATCCAACCTCTGCTTAAAAACCTCCAAGGAGGGAGAGTCCACAGCCCCCTCAAGGGAGACTGTTCCACTGTTAGCAACCCTTACTGTCAGAAGCCCTGTGTCCAGTTCTGGGCACCACAATTTAAGAAGGATATCAATAAGCTGTAACATGTGCAGAGGAGGGCAACCAAGATGATCAAGGGCCTGGAATCCCAGGGACTGGTTGAGGCACTTTTGTATGTTTAGCATGGTAAAGAGGAGATTGAGAAGAGAAATGAACCCAGACCAATGGCTTCAAGTTGCAAGAAAGGAGATTCCAATTCAACATCTGGAAGAACTTTCTGACAGCAAGAGCTGCTCAACAGTGGAACAGTCTCCCTCGGGGAGCTGTGGACTCTCCTTCCTTGGAGGTATCTATGCAGAGGTTGGGTGTCCCTCTGTCATGGATGCTTCAGCTGATATTCCTTCATTGCAGGGGGTTGGACTAGATGACCCTTGGAGTCCCTTCTACAATTCTATGATTCTGTGCAAAGTATATTTTGGGTTCTGTGTTTATAAGTATCTGTTCTGCTTTCAGAGGAAGGATCAAGCCAATGCATTGAACGTCCTCCTTGCTCAAAGAAAGACTTTTTCCAAATCCACACACCATGTGACCGAGATGGGAAAGTGAGTAGCAGACCCTCCCAAAGCATTTCCACGGGAGTCTTCCACAGTGTTGGCTGAAGTGTTGGTTGTCCTCATGGTTTGCACCCAAGACAGGGCGGCCAAGATGGTACCCTCCAGGTGTTGTTGGACTGCAACTCCCCCCATTGCAGGCCAAGGGCCAGGCTGACTGGAGCTGAGAGGAGTTGGAACTGGCCCCCTTGACCTAAGTTTGATCCTTGGCTTAAGGAAACTTGAGATATTAATTGTAGTGGAAATATCAGTCTATTTGTTGGCCGGCTGCTCATAAGATAAGCATTTGCAATGTTCTTGGCAAGACTGTGGGAGTTTTTGTAAGTTAATCATCTATTTAAGTTCACAGAATTTATGAAACATGTTTTAGGTCATATGATATTGTGCTCTGTGACCTTGTGAATTAAGAGCATTTACTATGGAACCTTGAGGTAACCCGCTGTAATTGCAGATGACTGTGTAATTGAGCTGTGAAATCCAAATCCCTCCCCAAGGCTCTCTTATTTTGATTAGACTAACAATCCTTCTGCTTTCTCTTCCTGACCTTTTCACTCAAGCAAGAGGGAAATTATCCCTCTGAAATATAGAATGACTACATAGAAGAAAGCTTTCTGCTCTTATGTCAGAGAAAGGGACTCATGTAGATACGAATGTTAGAAGAATAATTGGTTATTGTGCACAAGTTCTTTTGACACATAGCTGTTTAAGTGCCTAGACTCTCTATGTGGTTCTGTATTTTCACTCCATTTTTTTCTTTTATAAGCCTCCTTGCAAATGCTTTTCTTCCTTGCTGTGTTCACATTTATTACCTTTGTCCAGGTGTGTGATCTCACTTGAGCTACTGAAATAAATGGAAAACATTCAGTGGATTTCAGATTGGACTGTGTAAGATCACAGGAAATTCTGTTAAACTGGCTACCCACAAATAATGGTTGAATAAGTGACAGGACTGGGTAGTAATTTGCAGAGGCCTTAAGAATATGCAGAAAATGATACTGGATCCTGTCCCACGACTAGGCAGTGTGAGACGGCCGACCTCACAAGGCAGAACGGGTTATCATTAAAGGGCAGCAAAATGATCCATCCACCCAGCCGTGGATCTTTCCACCATGTAAAATGCAAGCACTTGCAATACATTTGTTATTTGTTATTATCCTGCTGTCTCTCCCTATTCAGTCATTTCTCCCTTGCATGGGGCTTCTTCACACATTACACTGAACAAGCTGTCTCTACACACATACAAGTATTTGTGTGAAAGCATGTCCACTTGTTGATTTGTATGGCTCAGCTGTTGTGCTTACAGGGGCACAGACTGTATACCTGTTGAACATAATGTGTGAACACCTTTATGATTAACAGTCACATAAAGGGGGAAGCTGTTCATGCATTGCTGGTGTGTGTGCAGAAGGGAAGGCCACTGAACATGTGTTGTATCATCATCATCATCATCTTATTAATAATATACTGCTGACTTGCTAAATGGACTTTTAAGCAGTTTGCAGGTATAAAACCAATTACAAAATAATGTTGGCATCCCTCTGTCTTGAGAGACAATGGAGTATGCCTCTGGAGGTGAAGTCAAACTGCTGTGTTAGCAGCACTGAAGTGACCTCTCTGGGGCATAAGCCGGGGCAGCTTGTCTGGAGGTCCTGGGCTGCCTAGATAACAAGACCCCCCTCTCAGCCTCGCTGATGTGGTCCAAAGAAAAGCAGAGCAAAGTGTTTGGCACCAGCTTGGCTGCAGGAGTTGCAGGGAAAAGGCGTTCAAGGCGCCATCCAATCATCTTAAGGACTCCAGATTGCTGTAAGGTTTACTCCTTAGCCTTTTCTCCCCCTGAAGATGTCTCATAAAGCAGTGGAGGTTTAGGATCAGCATTTCCTCCTCCTAGATGGGCCACCTTTGCAGGTGGATGAGGTCCCCCCCCACACACACCTCACTTCCCTCTACTGCATGTGCAGAAACCACCTTCCTGACTGTTGGACCCACTCTTGGTCTCGGCTGCTCAATCCACCAGAGCAATTACAAAATATGAGCATGCATAAATAAAACAATCCGACCCAAACATTAAATCAAACACGCACAGTTGACCTGTGCAATGGAACAAGCCCATTAAAACAGTTAATTATGATGTGTAAGCTCTCTCTGCAATCTGAAACCCTGGTTTCATAGAGCTCCAGTTCACAGGGAGAGTCTGTGGGTGTTCTGCAGGAATGCCGCCAATAAGAGGACGACAGGGTAGGCCTGGGAGGGGATGGATGGGGAAAAGGTCAACGAGAAGGGACCACTTTGCAAAGTTGTTACAGTAATTGTGTGACTGTCTGATAGGAACTTCTCTCTTGTCTAAGGGTTCATTGGTTTGCTAGCATTTGTTTTCTGCAGGGGAGAACTTTGGTCACATTCCTCCCTCCCCTCTCTGACTGTTTTCCTAAGAATTGTTCAGTCCTGTGAATAGCTGAGTAAAATATTCCTTATCTTAACTTCACATATTTTCTCTCTTTCTTTCAGACTCAGCTCATGTACAAATGGGTAGAGCCTAAGATCTGTAGGGAAGATCTTTCCGAAGCAGTGAAGCTGCCTCCTTCTGGAGAGAGGAAGGAGTGCCCCCCTTGCAACCCTGGTTTCTACAACAACCGCTCCTCTTTCTGCACTCCTTGCCCCCTGGGCATGTTTTCTGATGGAACTCGAGGTATGAGAACCTGAGCCCATTGAAAAGACCAGGTTGTATCCCACCCTGTTGCTCAACTGATGGTACACTTTTGCTGGTGGAATGGAGAGATCATTCCCCCTCCCACTTGCAGTCCACCCTCCCCACCAATAAATCTGCTCCAAAGGGTTCCCCAACCCTTTGGAACAGATATTTTTCTCGAGTGGGGGGAGAAGTGGAGGGGGAAATGCCAGAAAACTCTTTCTCTCCTTGTTCTGCTGACGGAAGCCTTGCTGTCAGCTTAGCAGGCCTGTTGGGTACAGCCCACTGTTGTGGCACTTGCTGCCTGCCTGGCTTGGGAGAGAGAATTATTTCTATCCCACCTTTTGAAGATGATATAGAGGCACCATTGTCCTTGGCTTACGCACTCATTGCATGGTCATCTATGCTTCACAGGATCTTGCAGGATATTATCTCATTCTTTAAATCTGTAAGATCCATTTCACCAGACGCCATGAAAAGAAGGCTCAAACACCAAGGTCCGTGTTGCCTCTTTCAGCTTTATTACAAAAAACTAAACTCTTCTCTGCCTTCTGCCTTGGCTGACTTCCTCCATCACCAGGCAACTTGTCCACACACAGCCTCCTTTCTTTCTTTTTATTGTAGAACGGCTTTTGTTGGTGTGTTCACTTTTTACATACTGCAAGTCATAGGATACCCATTATTTATTTATTTTTGTTTCTTGCTTAATACAGTACAACTCTTTTTTTTTAATAACTTTTATTTCCAATATTCACTCTTTTAAAATCACAATAGAAAAGAAAAAAAAGACATCGCAAAATAAACAGATGTAGACAATAAAATATCAAGACGTAAATACATTTCTCCGAAAGTATTAATTATCATAACATCATTCTGACTTCCCTCCACCGCGATTTAAGCTATATCCCATTGATACCCTTCTTGCAGTTCCTTCTTTCTACCTTTATCTTTACTTCGCAGATTCTATAATTCACCTATTGTTATTTTAATATTACCTAAGTTTTTCTCCATGTATGATATAAATTTGTTCCAATCATTAATAAAGATTTTATTACTCTGATGCCTGATCTTCTGTGTCATTTTTGCTAGCTCAGAGTACTCAAATAGCTTGTTTTGCCATTCACTTATAGTTGGTATTTTAGATGATTTCCAGTTCTGTGCCAACAGCAGTCTTGCTGCTGTCGTTGCATGCTGGAACATGGTTTGGTCTTCTTTTCTAATCTCCTCACCGGCCATTCCCAGAAGAAATGCTTCTGGTTTTTTAGGAAATGTGTATTTCAGTATCTTTTTCAATTCATCATAGATAGAACCCCAGAACCTCTTCACTTCTTCACACGACCACCACATATGATGGAAGTCGCCCTCTTTTTTTTTACATTTCCAACATCTTTTGTCTCCAGTCTTGTACATTTTTCCAAGCTTAACAGGAGTAATATGCCAACGATACATCATTTTTTCCATATTTTCACGGAGGCTAACGCATGCTGTAAATTTCATGTCCTTAGTCCAAAGTTTCACCCATCTCTCATATTCTAAACTATATCCCAAATCTATGGCCCACTTTATCATGACCTCCTTCACCTCCTCGTCTTTTGTATCCCATTCCAGTAATTGATTGTACATTTTGGATAGAAGCTTACTCTTTCCTTCTAATATTTCCACTTGGAATTTTGATTTTTTCTCATTCATCCCTATTTTTTGTGTTCATTCCATAGGGCGTTAATTTGGTGAACCTGTAACCACCCTATTGATTTATCTTTTAGTTCTTCAAATGATTTAATTCTCCACCCCTTATCCGATTTGGTCAGGAGATCTTCGTAGGTCCATCTTTGGCTTCTCGTGTTTAAATTTTTAAGGGATGAGATATTAACTGGAGATAGCCACCAAGGTATGCCCTTTTCCAACAGTCTTTTAGTTCTATTCCAAACCTCTAACAACGCTCCTCTAACAATGTGGTGGGAGAAACCCTTATGCACCCTTTCTTTATCTTGCCATAAATAGGCATGCCAGCCAAATCTAGCATCAAATCCTTCCAGGTCTAACACATCTAAGTTTTCCAGAACTATCCAGTCCTTAACCCAACATAGGCATGCAGCCTCATAATATAATTGCAAATTTGGGACGGCAAACCCCCCTCTTTCTCTCCTGTCTGTGAGCAGTTTAAACTTAATTCTTGCTCTCTTCCCCTGCCAGATAAACCTGGACAGGGTCCTCTGCCATTCCTTAAACATTGTTGTTCCTCTGATTACTGGAATATTCTGAAATAAAAATAATATTTTTGGAAGGATGTTCATTTTTATGGCTGCCATTCGTCCCTCCCAGGAGAGTGTTAATCTACTCCAGATGTCTAAATCTTTTTTAATCTCACTCCAGGTTTTTTTGTAATTATTTTCCACTAAATTTATATTTTTTGTAGTTACCCAAATACCCAAATACTTCACCTTTTTCACTACCTTAATTCCTGTTTGTTGTTCTAATTGATTTCTTAAGTCTTCCGCCAAATTCTTAGTCAGTATTTTTGTCTTATTTTTATTTAACTTAAACCCAGATAACTTCCCAAACTCCTCAAGCACTTCCAAGACTTTTTCCACGCTTTTTAGTGGCTCTTCTAATGATATCACTAGATCATCGGCGTATGCCTTTAATTTATATTCCTTCACTCCAAGTTTAATTCCTCTTATTTCCGGTGTTTCCCTTATTTTATTTGCAATTATCTCCAGTACCATAATAAACAGGAGGGGGGACAGAGGGCACCCCTGTCTTGTACCTTTTGATATCATAAATGAGTCTGTTAAATTATTATTAATAATTAATTTCGCTCTTTGGCTCGAATAAATTGCTTTGATACCCTCCAAGAAGGGCCCCTCTATCCCTACCCTTTCCATACACTTTACAAGGAAACACCAGGATACATTGTCGAAAGCTTTTTCGGCGTCGACGAATACCAGAGCTGCAGGAATTTCATTTTTAAACTCTAAATATTCAATGATGTTTATTATATTTCTTATGTTGTCCTTCAGCTGTCTGCCTGGCAAAAAACCGGCTTGGTCTTTATGAATTGATTTTATCAAATATTTTTTCAGTCTTTTTGCCATTATCTCAGCAAATATTTTATAATCGTTATTGAGTAGTGATATCGGCCTATAGTTTTTTACGTCAAGTTTATCCGCCTCCGGTTTTGGTATTAGGGTAATATGGGCCTCTCTCCACGAGTCCGGTATCCTCCCTCCCTGTAAGATATTATTAAATACGTCACATAAGACAGGTGTTACATATTCCTCCAGGACTTTATAATATTTTTGTGACAGACCATCTGGACCTGGAGCTTTCCCTGGTTTCATTTTTTTAATAGCCTCCTTAACCTCATCCGTCGTTATTGGTTTATTTAGATGGGATTTTTCATCGTCTGTCAGCCGCTCACCCCCATTTTTCTCCAAATATCTTTCTATTTCTATTGTATCTTCATCCTCCTTTCTTTTGTACAAGGTTTCATAGAACTGAAGAAACTTTTCCTTTATTTCATTTGGGTCTTCTATTATATGTTCCTCTATTTTAATCTTATTAATCACCATTTGTTTTTTCCTTTTCCTTAATTGCCATGCTAACAATCTCCCCGTCTTGTTTGCAGACTCAAAGTATTTTTGTTTCATTGATTTTATCCTCCATTCTACCTCTTGCCCTAATAATGTTGAGTATTGAGTTTGCAGCACTTTGGCTATTTGTTTCATCTTTTCATCCTCTGGGTTTATTATTAATTTTTCCTCACATTCTTTCAGTTGTTTCACTATTTCTTCCTTTTTTAATTCTCTTAACTTCCTTCTATAACTATTCTGCTGAATCAAGAATCCCCTGAGGACCGCTTTACTTGCTTCCCAGACTATGTCAATTTTGGTTCCTTTGTTTAAATTCCATTCAAAATACTCTTTCAGGGTGTTTTTTGCTTTCTCAATAATCTCTTCGTTTTCTAATAGGTATTCGTTCATTCTCCACCTGTACTGTCCCAGTGATCTACTTTTTATTTCCAAAATAATTGGGTTGTGATCGGAGAGTGTTCTAGGTTCTATCTCACATTTCCTTGTTCTTAATGATAACTCTCTTGAAATCCAAATCTGATCGATTCTGCCCCAACTCTGATGTACATCTGAAAAGTGTGTAAATTGTCTTATTGTTGGGTTTTTGTACCTCCAAATATCAATCAGATCTAAATTTTCCTGTAAATCTTTAAAAGATTTTGGGAGTTTCCCTTGGTTCGTCTTTCTCTTTTTTTCACTCCTATCCATTTCAGGGTCGGGGACTCCATTTAGGTCTCCTAAAAGAATTAATTTGTGGCTCTCTAATTCTAATAACATTTGTTCCAATTTTTTAAAGAATTCTGCTTTTTTTGTATTGGGGGCATAGACCGTTATTACATTAAATTTTTCTCCTTGATGATTAATTTGAACTCCCAGAATTCTTCCCTCTTCATCCTTACATATTAGTGTCGGTTCCCATTTCTCTTTAACATAAACCACCAGTCCTCTTTTTTTGCTGACATCAGAATTAATAAATTCCACCCCAACTTTTTATTAATCAATACATGTTTATGTTTTTTAGCTATATGAGTCTCTTGGTAGCATATCACATCATAATTTTTGTTCCTCAAAACTTTCATTATTTTATTCCTTTTGGATTTTTCATTTACGCCATTTACATTCCAGGACAAAAACTTCAAAGACATTACTAAAACTAAGTTCTGGTTGCTCCTCTTTCTCTTCCTAACCTTCTTCCTCCGCTTCCTCCGCTTCTTCGCCGCTCTCTAGTCCCTCTTTATTCCCCTCCCCCCGCCCTCTCCCTCCTTCCCCCTCCCAACCTCCCTCCCCCCCTCCCCCTCCCACCCCACCTCCTTCTCTGTCTCTGGTATTGTCCTCTGCCTTGCCAAGTTCTTTCTCATATCTCCTCATAAATTTTTCCACTTCCTGTTGGTCTGTCAACTTGAATTTCTTATCCTTAAAGAAGAAAGCAATTCCTTCAGGAAATTCCCATCTGTATCGTATCCTGTTTCTTTTCAGGACTGCTACTATTTGTCTATATCCCTCTCTTTTGCGTAAAATTCTAACTGGGATTTCCTTCAGAACAATTATTGGCCTGCCACCAATTATTAGCTTTTTATGATAACTCGTTTTTAATATTAAATTCTTCATCTCAATTGAGTTAAATATTACTAAACAGTCTCCAAGAGGTCTTTTTATCCTATTTTGGACTATTCTCATTTTTATTCTAAAAGAGTTTTCAATTGTGTATGCGACATCTTCCTCTTTCAGATCTAACCATTTTGCTAACTCTTTGGTCATCTTTTCCTTTATGTTCTCATTTGTCTCTTCCTCTACTCCTCTGAATTTTAAATGTAATTGTTTCTGTCGCCTTTCTGTCATAGCAATATTATCCCAGATTTGTTCTTGCGTTTTATTCACCTCTCTCATCTCTTCCTTTATTTTTTCAGTCTCTTTTTTCTGTTCTCTCATGTCTTTTTGCATTTTTTTATTGGTTTCCTCAAATGCTTTGGATTTGACAGATAGTTCTTGAATTTTTATGGAGAGTTCTCCTACTGCTCCTTCTATCAACTCTTTTTAAAGCTACCATACACGGGATAATTTATTTATTTCAGAATATTGTCCTACGTCCAAAGATCTCAGGGCAGCTTGTAGTGCTTAAAGCAACAATAGTGCATCAAATTAAATAAGCAGAGAGCAGGCAAAAACGTAAATTTAAAACAAACCTGACAATGGATTTATGCCCCATAAACATATTGTGGCTCGAGAATGTCAACAGGGTGCTGTACAGGCTGGTGCTTGGGGCACCAGTTTCCTGTGACACCATTCACTGTATCACTCAGTGCAAAAGAGTGTATCACTCTGCCCCAGCTGTAATAGGATGCTTCTTCAATGCCCTTCCAGCGCCACTTAGTCCTCCCCAATGTGTCTGCTTGGTTTTAACTTTCCTCCAGTCATGATGCCTTCTCAGTTAGGATGCCTCCTCCCCATATCAACATTTCTTATGTGGAGGAAGTCATCATCCTGAGGCGTACTCTGCCCTGATCCCCACAGTCCAGCATGGAGAACCACCCAAGAATGGCTAGTTCTATCTGATTCGTAACACATCTAATGAAATGTTTCATTCTGAAACTGGCTGATTTTCTGCATGTAGGCTCATCCTGTCCCATTTCTCCTTGTAGATTGTGAGGCCTGCCCTGCTGGTACAGAACCTGCTCTGGGCCTGGAATACAAATGGTGGAACGTGCTCCCTTTCAACATGAGGACTTCTTGCTTCAATGTTGGAAATTCAAAATGTGATGGGATGAATGGTGAGCGTGTCTGCCTTCATCACTAGCTTATTGTTCCTTTGGATGTTCTTAAGAGCTGATGTGAGGGTTAAGGGTTAAGGCATTAAATGCCTGTGGCATTTCTAAAAACAGATAGTCATACTGATCAACCTTTAAAAGGCTGTGGTAAAAATTGATGAGGTGAGATATGTTGGGCTCTTTGGAAAATCTCTGGATAAAAGCTAAATATCATTATTGTTGGTTTCCCCCCATGCTCATCAGCAGCATTTGTAAATTAGTACTTTTATTTGTTGGTTCAGTTTATCTTTGTCACTGAAGGAGGGTCCACCACTCCAGTAGGAACTATGGAAAAGAGGTATACATTCAGAAAATAATGCATGGTACCAACCAGGCAGGGTTGTATCAGTCAGACTGCAAGTGTGTTTGTGGACTGTCACAAGAATAATGACTCCTCCATAAAAACTCTGTGTCCATGGAAAGGTAGCATATCAAGGGACAGCATTCCAGTATAGCCTCTTCCCTGACTTGCTAGTTTTCTGCATAAATAGAGTTTTTTTTAATGGGGCAGGGGCACTGAAACACTGCAGGAGAGTCCAAGGAGCATTTTGCTTATATTGGCTCTGAGAAAGATCAACAACAGGCAAGATTACTTGTTTCTTTCAGATATTGTAATTAAGGTTTTGTTGAAGTGACGTGGGTTTATCCCATAAAATTACAGAAAGGAACGTTTGCCCACTGGTTAGATGGTTTGTTTGAAATTATGGATACCTGAGTCATTTTCCTACTGTGCCACAGATTTCTTTTCTTTGATTTTAAACACGTACCTTAGGCTGGAATAAAACAATAAGTTACATAGATTCCCTTAGACTTGAGCCAGCTTTGTTGTATCTAATTGCACTGAATTGGCCTAAATATATTGCATCTGTGTTTAACCAGTTGATGCATCTGGATATTCCTCCTCCCCGCTGTGATTTTTGTATACTTTTTAATAAACCAACGTGCAATATTATATTTACGTGGGGTTTTTTCTTGTTCAGGCTGGGAAGTAGCTGGTGACCACATCCGAAGTGGGGCAGGAGGGACGGATAACGATTATCTCATTGTGAATCTTCACGTACCAGGATTTAAGTAAGGAATCATTAAATTTCTATGCTATTCCTCACCTTTCCCCTTTCTTATGTTATATTCTATCTCAAATGGTTTGTGCTTAGACAACATGAGGAAGAAAGTTATAAATGGGGACTGAGGTCCTAAACGCCACGTGGAGCAGATCTGTGAAGACAAACACAGTTTCTGCTGGAGACGTGTATGGGACAGGGTGGACACACAACTCATTAGTTCATTAGTACGCACCCATTTACTTGAATGTGAGACCTCTGAGGGCATCCAGGAAGCATGATCCAATGAGTCATCTTCTACACGTTGCCTTCATTGACATTTTAAGTCGGGGAGCATTTAAGCCCACTCTCAACTTTGTACTACATCCACATGGGTATCTGCAGGGAAGACATGGGAGCATACCCCTGCCCCCACACCTGCACTTGGATGATCTATAGTCCCCACATCCCCAGCTTTCATTTTGAAAATGAAAGTCTGTTTCCAGCATTTACAGAACCTGCAAGGTGAGGCAAAATGGACAGGAGCTATTCTTCAGCACTTTTGTGTGAGAAACTGGCTTGCGCCTTCATTTGGGTGTTTCACTCTGGCAGGGACCTTTGGAAGGACCTTGTAATTGTGCCATTTCTTCTGTGTTGAACAGGCCTCCGACTTCCATAGCAGGGGCGACGGGGTCAGAACTTGGACGGATTGCGTTCGTGTTTGAAACTGTCTGTTCGGCAGATTGTGTGCTGTATTTCATGGTGGTAAGCAAGAACATGTTCAACATTTTGACTTGCCTTTATTTGTTTAGATTTGCTGAATAGATTTATATCCACCTTTTTTACAACATATAAATTATTATTTTTTAATTTTTTTAATGAGATATTCACATTTTTATACACTTTATCTCTATCCAGTTCAAACATTAAATTATGATAACATATAAATTAAGCAAATTCATCCCAATGTATGAAACTAGAAAACACCATAAACAGCCCTGAGCCCAGTAATTCCAGAAGTTTTTGTTCCTGGGCATATACCAAGGATGGGAAATCTCTTTCCTGTTTTCCCCACACCATTTCCAGGGGCTAATGACTTATAGGGCAGTTTAATCAAGCACAATGGTGACATGTTTCCGAGCACAATTCAAAGTGTTGGTGCTGACCTTTAAAGCCCTAAACGGCCTTGGTCCAGTATATCTGAAGGAGCGTCTCCACCCCCATCGTTCTGCCCGGACACTGAGGTCCAGCTCCGAGGGCCTTCTGGCGGTTCCCTCACTGCGAGAGGCCAAGTTACAGGTAACCAGGCAGAGGGCCTTCTCGGTAGTGGCGCCCGCCCTGTGGAATGCCCTCCCATCAGATGTCAAAGCGATAAACATCTACCTGACATTCAGAAGACATCTGAAGGCAGCCCTGTTCAGGGAAGTTTTTAATATGTGACATTTTAGTGTATCTTTCCTCTTTGTTGGAAGCCGCCCAGAGTGGCTGGGGAAACCCAGCCAGATGGGCGGGGTACAAATAAATTATTATTATTATTATATTATTATTATGTTACCAGGATTCTAGATTGCTACTAGTAGGTATGTGGAATAATGTAGGAAAAGAAGAAGGGAACTGAGTGAAAAGTTCCTGACAAGAGAGAATCTGGTATAAGATCCCTTCCTTGTGGCCAAAGCAGTAGCACAAACACCTACAATGATGAAAGTTGGCATGTCTGCTTTAGTAAATAGCCCAAGTTCTGCTAATTGACACTGTATGTTTACTTTATGTCCTTTGCTTCTAGGACATCAATAAAAAGAACACAAATGTAGTGGAATCGTGGAGCGGAACTAAGGAGAAGCAGTCGTATGCTCACATCATCTCCAAAAACGCTTCTTTTACATTTACATGGGCTTTCCAGAGAACAAATCAAGGCCAAGATGTAAGTAGCACAGGCATCTTAGTGGAAATGAACATATTTCATCAGGTTTCAGAAAACACTAATGCTGTGGAACAAAACTTATTTTAGGCAGTTTTGGGAGGCTTGCCACATTCTAAGCCACCAGGGGAAGTTTGGGTGCAATGGGTATTGTGCCCCAACTTTGGGCTCCAGTCCTACGCTCTGCCAACCCGCATGTCCCTGTTATCCACAGACCCATTTCTACAGGTCAAGACTCTAGAGAAGTATCTGAAGTCAGGGTGGTGAAGATTTCTAGATGATCTTGAGCAAATCATTCTCTGCCATCCTAACCTATCTCTCAGGGTTGTTGTGAGCATGAATTGGGTGTCGAAAGAGAAGGAAGGAGAATGTATGGACTCCTTGGAGGAAGGACTGAATATAAATGGAATTAAGAAATAAAATAAAAGCCGCCTGTCCCTCTTTGACTTCAAAGATCAGCAAATTGTGCTGGGCTGCCAGTTTAAATGAGATTGCAGAAGGAGATCAGCAGCAGCAGCAGCAGTAGCAGCAGCAGGGAGGTCAGCTCATCATCCAACTGAGAAATGCACTTCCTAGCCTATTAGTGATCCCTGAAAATGATTTACTGATTTATGGGGAACCCCAAAGGTATCCTGTACTGCTCAGGGGGCTTACAACAGTGTGGTAGGCCATGCTCCAGGTCAACACCCCTGGATTAACTCAACTGCCCAACTCTCTTGCCAGGAGCTCCTTGAGTTACCTTGCTTTCCATTGCTGTCTTGCTATTAAAGCTTCATATGTTTTGCAAGGTTAGCATCAGCAGTGAGAGAATAAAGGCAGTGTATTTGAGGAAATGGTAGTGTGTCCCCTCAGTATGAGTTATTTTTGCCCATTGCTCTTTCCAGACCAGGAAGCTCATCAATGATGTGGCAAAGATCTACTCGATTACTGTGACCAATGCAGTCGATGGTGTTGCCTCATCGTGCCGTGCCTGTGCCATTGGTTCTGAACAGTCTGGCTCCTCCTGCATTCCCTGCCCTGCTGGTCACTACATAGACAAGGAAACCAACCAATGCAAGGAGTGTCCTCCTCAAACCTACCTGTCAATTCATCAAATGTACAGCCAAGAACCATGTATCCCTTGTGGGCCTGGCAGCCAAAGCACCAAGGTAGAGAGGTGCCATCAGTAGTTTTGATGTTTAAAAACAGACAAAGATAAGAATAACCTGAATCAAGCCAATGGTCCATCTTGTTCAGTACTTTTTAAAGCAGTGGTCAACAAGCTCACAAGTGGAGCAAAAGTGAGATAGTTAACTCAGGTGGCATGTCCCATCATCTGGTGATTAGAATTCTCTGGCTCTGAATTTGGAGTTTGCATTTAGCTCTCAAGGGAATGGCTATTGAAAGGTCTACACTCTAAGCCATCTAAGTCTTAAATGAAATTTGTCATTGTTTAATTTCGTTGTACTTTTACAGTAGGGAAGATATTTGAGCAGCCTCCTCCCCCATAGGATTCAATGTTTCCCCAGATGCTCAAGTTTGTTGAGCACAATTTATTTTAAAAGGTACATAGAGAAGTATATTAATTTCAGGAAACTCCAGAGTTTTAAAGGTAACAGTGCCTCCCCCCCATAGCAAATGCAGTGGACCTGCCTCCTGGGCGCTTTTGATTGATGACATCCTAATGACCATTTGTGTGGGTTTGCTTCTTCTGGTGCAGAGTTTACAACTTGATTATCTGAAACTTCCCTTCACTTTCATTTTGCTTTCCTTTCTTAAGGACCATTCCGCCTGCTTCAGTGACTGCTTGTTCTCATATGTCAAGAACAACCAGAGCCGGACTTACGACTTCAGCAACCTGAGCAAAGGAGGCTCATTAATGAACGGACCAAGCTTTACGGCGAAAGGAACAAAATTCTTCCACTTCTTCAACATCAGCCTGTGTGGGAACCAAGTAAGCACCTGCCTTTCTAAGGCTAGCACTCCATCCCACATGTAAAAAGAGGAGGCCATCAAACCAGGGCATCTCCTAGCCTTCCATGTACCAGTGCCAGTCCCTTTCCTGAAAAAAATGAGGTGCCAGTACTCATGCCTTGATAAATTGGGAAATGCCACCTCCCACCCTTCCTGGGGTGTTTTGCACCCCTTCTCTCCTGAATTTGCGAAGAATTTTTAATAATGCATTTATATTTATTTATTTATTTAAAGTACTCTTTTGAAATACCGGTAATAATAAATTAATATATTCATGAACAAAGTTCCTACATAATATGTACTTCTTGCTAAACTAGTAGAAGAATATATTTATATGTATTTAAAAATACTTTACTGAAACTGATACAATAACAACCCATTTCATTTGGAGGATTCTTTTTCTAATTCACACACCTTGAGAAAGAGTACATTGAGAGAAGTCTGCTGCTCACTCTCACGGTGGAGATCACACTACTGATCCTCCCCCCAAATGACGCTGTTTCTGTCTAACAACAAGGAACACCCCTCCCCCCCCAATTCCAGCGATTTGTGGGGCAGGAACTGGGGTGGAAGAAGAGGAAGAGTCCAGGTAGTCAAGAGGAAGAAGGAGAGGAGGTGGGGGAAGAGCAGAGAGGTGGAAGAGGTGGTCCCAGAGAGATTCTGGCTGTTAGACTCTCCTCTGTCTCCAAGGACTAGAGGGGCTTAAAGCAACAGGAGCAGCTGGAGATGCCGGGCAGGAGAAGCCTCTGGTTGCTCATGGGCCACGTCAGATGAGTGGGTTTAACTGAGCTGGAAGGGGTATGGTGATGGCGTTGATCCTTCTATCCAGGTCAGAGCACAGGTCTGAAGAAGAAGATGCCCAGATAGCTATTTAGCAAGAGTAGCGTGTATATTTGAGAATTTTGGGAGAACAGGTGAAGTCTCTGTGGACTGGAGGTGGGCAGATTTTGTCTCCATTTTTAGAAAGCGGAAGAAAGAAGACCCAGGTAACTATCAACCAGTGAGATTGATGCTGAAACCAGGAAAGGTCCTATAACATTTAATTCAACAGTGGCCTGTGAGCACTTAGAAAAGGATGCTGTGATTACTAAGATGCAGTATGGGTTTCTCAAAAATAAGGCATGCCATACCAATCTGTCTTCTTTTTTTTGATGGAATTACAAACTTGGTGGATCAGGGAACTGCTGTGGATGTAGTGTATCTTGATTTCAGTAAGGCTTTTGACAAAGCCCCCTATGATATTCTTGCGAGGAAGCTGGTAAAGTGTGGGTTGAATGAGGTAACTGTTAGGTGGATTTGTAGCTGGTTGACTGACCAAACCCACAAAGTACTCATTAATGGTTCCTGGTCATGCTGGGAGAAAATGACAAGTGGGGAGCTGCAAGGTTCTGTCCTGGACCTGTCGTTGTTCAACGTCTTTACAAATGACTTGGATGAAGGCATTGAGGGGATGCTCATCATATTACTTGAAAGTGGAGCAGGAGCAGATGGGAGGGCTTTGCTCGCGAGGAAGCCGGGGCAAGCATTGCACGGTGCATGGGGGAGGGGAAGGGTACACACTGGGTAGCTAATGTGGATATACTCTTGTTGCCCACACCATGTGCCCAAAGGTTGCTCATAGTTACTTAATTTAGGGCTGAGACAAAACTGCTCATTTCTTTGCAAAGATCGCTGGCAGTGTTAAAGGTGCTGTTTTCCACTCCTTAGAAAGGAAGATTTACGTTGCCTGAGTTACTCTCCCTCTTGGTGGTATGCTTTGCTACGTAGCATGGACATGGTTATGGATTTGTTGGGATCACCCATGCAACTGGCCTTGGGGGCCTCTCTTGCACTCTTAGATGTCCCCATTTGCCTTCAATGGCATCATCACATAACCAAATCTGGTTGGCTGTGGAGCACATTCATGTCCTCCCATTCAGGATGTGATCCCATGAGAGCAGGCATGTATACAATGACAAAAAGGCAACCAAAACTGAGGGAGCAGGAACCAAAGAATCAGATAAGAATTAAAAGATTAATGTCTGCACAAAATGTTTTGAGAGGAATTAATCCCCCCCCCCAAATATTTGCATCCTGAAACTTTAACCTGGAGAATATTCTGTGCTACCCTATTTAAGCTGCATTACTTTTTGTTACTGCTACTGTGAAATGCTGGGTGTCTGCAAATTGTATGAAGTTTTGTTATATTTGAATAATATGAATAAATATTTCCACATCAATTTATTGGGAAAACTAAAGAGGTCCATAATTAGAGTGCAATTACACAGTCTGACACTACATGGTGAAATATGCCAGCCATTTTGCTTATGCCTTCCATGAAAGGTACCCCTTCTGTTCACCAAATTCTCACTTTAAAGTTTTAGTGAGCTGGTGTATCATTATCTAAAGGCCAAACTGCGTTTAGCTAGCAATTCAAATGCCCTGCAAGACAGCAACATAGTTCATTGATGGATACCTTAAAAAAGAAGCAACAGCTATTTCTCAAGATCAGTTCTAATTATATATTTTCTAAAGGGGGTAACTACTTGATGGTCTTTAAAGGAATTGCCTGGGTTCTTCCATGATGGTGCAGCTCAAGTTTTGTGATTGTCTTTATAATTTGGTGGCAAATTGGTTTTCAGCTGCAGCAAGAAGTGCCTGACCTCTGATTTGCAAGAAGGTAGGAAATCCAGCATGAAAACAAGAAAATTATCTCCCTGTTCATTTAATGTCTACAGGGAGAAATGACAGCAATTTGTGCAGACAATATCACAGATATCAAGCTAAAGGATATGGTTGCTGACTCAGAAGATTATTCCGACATTGTACGGGCCTTTGTCTGCCAGTCTACCATCATCCCACCTGACAGCAAGGGATTCCGAACTGCTTTGGCACTTCACTCCAGCAGCCTTGCAGACGTGTTTCTCGGTAAGCGCTTTAATCTTCTGCTTGTTCTGATCAAGGCTGAGCCGCTCTAAAGCCACGGGAGGAGAGGAGGAGGAGGAGGAGGTGGAGGTTACATGGCCTAATCCAGCAACTACACCCAGCCTGCAAAGTTGCCACTTGGGGATTGGCTGGGATCTTCTTATGTGTCTCCCCCAAGGATGGCGCCTGTATGACACATGGGACACACTGGGGGACCCCACCCCACTCTCTGCCAAGCGGCTGCACCAGGCTGGTGTTTCCACTGGGGCAATCAAGGCACAGCAGAGACGAGGGTCATTAAGAAATATGCTTCACTCACACCTGTGCCTCTGTCCCAGCCTGCCTTCAGCCAACCTGCTTCCTCCTCCTCGTTCCCAGAATGCCTTGCCAAAAAACTGTGTAAAAGGACACCCTCTTTTCCTGCAGTGACATCACACCCCGTGTTACAACCTCCCTCTGTGCCTGGCAGTGCCTGGCAGTGCCTTCTGCCTGGGTGATGATTTCTGCTGAGGGGCTCATGGCCTGCCCATCACCAGGCTGGCCTCAGGAGGAAGCCCATGCATGCTCTTGCCAGCCCCCCCCCGCCCTTGCTAAATTTGGGAACTGTTGCATTTTTCTCAAATGCTGGCACTTCACTGTATGTACAGTGGTACCTCGGGTTAAGTACTTAATTCGTTCCGGAGGTCCATACTTAACCTGAAGCTGTTCTTAACCTGAAGCACCACTTTAGCTAATGGGGCCTCCTGCTGCCGCTGCGCTGCTGGAGCACGATTTCTGTTCTCATCCTGAAGCAAAGTTCTTAACCCAAGGTACTATTTCTGGGTTAGCGGAGTCTGTAACCTGAAGCGTATGTAACCTGAGGTACCACTGTATATATAAATGTGTGTGTATATACTATATATAAAATATGAGAGAACTTTCTTTCTCCTTCAGGATATTGAGATGATTTATTTTTATTTTTATTTGCAGGAGCCACCATTGAAACAACTCTGGGAAATATTAATGTTAAGCCGGAAATATTTGAGCATTCTGAAAAGACAATACCTGATGTGTATTTCTATTACAAGTAAGTAGAAGCATCAACCCTGCAGGTGCATTAAGCTTTACTCTTTGCTGGAATGTTAAAATTCAGAGGAAATCCACACAATGATAAGAGGCCAACGCTATAGAACCAGGGGACACCAACAATTTATTATATCCATTCCAGCTGTTACTACATTTTACTCAACAAGTCTCTCTCTCTCTCTTAGTTGCAGACAAGCCACAGTCACCAGGAGAAGGGAAGATTCTGCTTTAGATTAACCACAGTTTAGTTTTATGTCTGCACTCCAAACTGTGGTTAAACTTACTGGGGGTGGGGGCGGGGGAAGGGGAGCTGGTTTCGCAAACTATTGCTTGAAGTTGGCTTATCACTAACCATGGTGAACTTAGCTGTGGTTAACAAACTGTTATTTGCTGGGTTCAGATGACACAAGAAGCTGTGCTTAGTCTAGACCAGAAGCAAAAACTACTGAACTCCTCATAGATATCTAGGCTCGTTCATTAAATGGTAACATATGCACTGACGGAGGAATGGGGGGGGGGGGGAGAGCGCGCTGCCCCAGCACCATCGGGGAGGGGCGGACCATCACGGCCACCCCCCCAGACATGCAACACGCACCCTCCACCGCACCGGGTGCCACACCACCATGGGTGCCACGCCACGTATAGGAGGTGCTCTTGGAAAGCAGAAGCCGAAAATAACAAACAAATTGTTTTCATTTCTGTTTAGGTCTTCAAGAGTTACAGCCACTTGTGAAAATGGACGTGCTTCTGTCGTGATACTGAGATGTAACCCAACAAAATCTGACCAAGGAGAAATTTCAGTTCCCAGGTATTTGTTAGTGATGACACCAGGGATAGGAGAGCTCATGACAATGGGGGCTTGTACCCATCTCTGGCCATTCCTCTTCCAAACTGGTCCTCCAGCACAACTAGTTGCAAACTGTAATGGAATGGCAAAACTCTTTCTTGTCACAGATTTGGGGTCAGACCACAGGAAATGCAGAGAACAGGACCCTGCTGTGTTACAAGATGATTGAAGGCCCTGATCTAAGGGCCACCAAGGCAGCGAAAACCACCTGCAAAAAGTTAGGACTTGCCCCCTTATTCTTGAGCACCATCAGCCAAGTCTTGTTTCAGTGGCTGCAAGGGGAATAGCAGGCTCACAGGACTAAATGAATTATGTGTCCTCTGTTTTGTGAAGAGTTTCACACACGTGCACCATTGCTTATTTCAGTTAGAGTTGCTCCTGTAACCACAACATTAGGTGGGGACTTGCAATTCTTAGACACAGATCAAAGCCGGCAGAATTTTCATATCTGCAGTCCATCAATTCAGACATTGGACAATTCACCCATTCAGCTTCAGGCTGAGTATTCTATAGGTGAGTGATGAACTCTAAAGAGCTGTATATGCAAGTATCAATTAGCCCTGTCATTTATGACAGATTTAGCCTCAAAATGGTGTCCTATCATTCTGCTGTGGTGAAGCTTCCTTGTGCAGGGATCTGCATGTGGTCAGAGCTGTATCTACCTAGCAGTGGCATGACAACAGATATTTTGTTTTGGACTCCCAGAACACAGGGTCCCTCCAGGCATCCTTTTTAATGTGCATTCATCATGATTTGTGCTCATGATGGTCTCCATAATCCCTGCTTCAGTGCTATTTGCCCCTGCAGAAGTTTTAGGGTTGGACATATGGCCTTGTTTTCACTCAGTGCATGCTTCCTGCTGAAATGCTGTAACTTTTTATATCACAAATGTTCCACATTTTTGGCTCCCATTTCATAAAATCATAGAACTGCAGAGTAAGAAGGGAGCACAAGGGCCATCTATTCCAGCCCCCCGCAATGCATGAATCTTGCATCCAACATGGGACTTGAACCCACAACCCTGAGATTAAGAGTCTCATGTTCAGCCCACTGAGCTATCACAGACTTTTGTGACAGTACCACTCTAGATGGCCAGAATGCTGTAGCATTGAAGAAGCATCACAGAACAACAAAGAAAGCTGAATGGTGTGTGGGTGCTCTGATATAGATTCACCGCTATTGCACTGTTATTGCATTTCTGGAAATTGTTATGTGAGAATGAACTCAACTAACCCCCCCCCCAAGCTTTCTTCATTTCCGTTTATAACACGAGGATTTCTCTTCTTCTAGTTCTTGCCCTGCTGGTACCTGTGATGGGTGTACATTCCACTTCTTGTGGGAAAGTGCAGAAGCCTGCCCCTTGTGCACAGAGCAGGACTATCATGAGATTGAAGGGGCTTGTAAAAAGGGGCATCAGGTAATAAACAGGTTGCACATCAAGGCAGGGGGCTGAGAAGGCTGGAGTTTCCAACTGCAATCCCAAGGGGGGGGCATTAGAAACACTCCACCTGCAAACTTCTATAGAGGGCATGACATGATTTTAGAACAAGATTCTCCTCCTCAGGAATCAGCTGAAACATAAGGCACTTTATGAAACACAATTAATCTCAGGCCTTATACAAAACACGGCATGAATACCAAAGGAGGAGTGCAAGGCAAGAAGTGGTCTGTAGGCCATCAGCTGACCTCTGGTCAACTTACATAGAGTCAGTGCTTTTTTCCTGGGGGTACTCAAGGATACGGAGTACAGGTACCTCCCCTCCTCCAAATGTTAAAAGGGTGGCACTTTCTGTTTCTTTTATATATAAAAAGCACTGCATAGATTTTAAAGCCTTTGGGGATGGAGATAAATGCTGTAAGATGCCCTGAATCCACAGGAAAGGGTTAGGGTATTAGCTACTTGGAATATGGTTTCATGGGACAGAAAGGGATAATGTCCCATTAAATAATATGCATATAAATAAATTCCTATTGCCTGCTGGTTGCTGGAATTCTTGCCGAGAATACTGGGCTGAGCCGACCTCCCTAGCAAGGTGCTTCTTAAATTTCAGTAAGGTACTTCTTATATACTGTTCAGGAACACTTAAGAGTTGAATGAGTATGCAACCATCCTTTGCAAATTTAATGGAAATCAGTAGACCATTGGGATGCTAGTTAATTTTTTAAAAAATAGACCATGCAAGGCTGCAGTCAGTTGATCCCTGCACTAAAGGTGAACCAATTATCCACAGTGGGAGCCTTTAACGGTTTTATAATTTAATAATAATAATAATATGTTTGTTTATATGCTGACCATCTGACTGGGTTGGCCCGGCCACTCTAGGCAGCTCGCAACAAAAAAATAGTAAAAGCACTATACAACACCACACACTGAAAACTTCCCTGAACAGGGTCAGATGTCTTAAAAATCACAGTTGTTTATCTGTTTGGCATCTGCTGGGAGGGTGTTCCACAGGGCGGGTGCGCCTACCAAAAAGGCCCTTTACTTGGTTCCCTCTCGCAATGAGGGAACCACCAGGAGGCCCTCGTGTAATCTCATGCCATGCAATTTGGAAGTTACTCACTTTGTGTGCAATCCTATTCACATCTATTCTTAAGTAAGTCCAAGTGGATTAAGTAAGTCCAGTAGGAATTTACTCCTTAGTAATCGTGTGTAAGATTTCAGGCTTAAAAATGATTCATTCATTCATTCATTCATTCATTAGGAAACCTTATATGTATGGAATGAACCAAAGCTTTGTACAAAAGGGGTTTCCCTGCCTGAAAAAAAGACAATCATTTGTGAAACAGTGGAGTTCTGGCTAAAGGTTGGTGCAGGTGTTGGTGCTTTCACAGGTGTCCTGCTGATTGCCTTAACCTGCTATTTCTGGAAGAAGAATCAAAAGTAAGTATTTTGTGTTCCATACGTGATACCTAACTGACCAGAAGCTTTGTCAGTGGACAGTATACTTGGGCCACCATCTGTTGCTTAACCTTGTGCTCCCTGATGGTTTTGGATATACTCTCACAGGAGCAAATACCCATCTCTCTGTACTATCTGAGTTTCTTCTTTTAGTTTTATTGACTGCTTTCTTGTAGAAGCTGCTATGCAAAATTGAGAATATTTTGGCATTGCACAGTGCACTATATTATGAAAGATTAGCAATGTTTGCCCCTGCACGGAGCTGCTCTCCCCACATGGGTGGCACTGCAGCCCACCTGTAGGGTGGCGGCGAGATCAGGCCTTCATGGCCACACCAACAGAGCAAATTTGCGGCTTCCACCAGGGGCGCCAGTTCTACTGGGGTTATAGCAGAGGCCATTTCATACTATGGAGCTCGGTGGCATGGAGTGCCTTCCATCAGTTTTGGCTGGTAGCCCAGCTGTGCCCCTGTCTATACAGGGATAACCTAACTTCTGTCCTTTATAATCTGGTAACCTCTAGGTTAGATTACCGCAATGTGTTATATGTGGGGCTGTCTCTGAAGATGACTTGGAAACATCAGCTTCCACAGAGTTCAGTGGCCAGGGTATTCACGGAGGCAAGACCGCTTGAGTATACAACGCCAATCTTGGCCTATCTGCATGGGCTGCCAATTAGTTTCCAGGCCCATTTCAGAGTGCTGGTCTTGACCTATAAAGTCTTATGCAGTTCAGGATCCCAGTACCTCAAGGACCAGCTCTCGCCATCCGAACTAACCCTGACCCTGCGATTGTCTTCTGAGGCCCTTCTTTGTGTGACCTCTCCATGGGAGGTCCGGAGGGTGGCAACCCGAGAACAGGCCTTTTCTGTGGTGGCTTCCCATTTGTGGAATGCTCCCCACAGGGAGGCTCGCCTGGCGCCTTCGTCATACATCTTCATGTGCCAGGCAAAAGCTATGGCAGTTGGAGCCAGGAAAAAGATGTGCAGGAAATTTAGCTTTGTGGCCAAAGGAATATGTAATGAGGCCCAAAGAAGTTGGGTCTAGAGGTTTTGGGAGATCCAAAGCGCAGTGTCCTGGAAGCAGAAGGCTGCTGTGGTGTCATGCAGAACCATAGGCAGCTCGGGGGCGGGAACGATGGCAGGAGATGCTTCTGGAGGTCAAAGTCAAGGAACCAAGTGGAAACACTGCAGAGCCAGGAAGACTCTTGTTGCTCTGGGGGGATCCTCCACCACCCCCCCAAATGAAAGGGCTGCCCTGGATAGCCCTTGCTGTCTAGGAGCATGGATGGCTGGGGCTGGTCCAGAACCTCAGGAAGCTGAACTGCACAGAAAGATGTTATCTGATGCCTCCCCCACAAGGGTCAGATGCACCCACAGCCAAGCAAGGCCCCTTTAAGCCCTGCTGGTCTCTTCTGTGGGTCACGTCATGTCGACTCTTTTTTAAATCTGAGAATGATCTACGACTTGAGTTCCACCTGGTACTTTGCTCTTTGGAGCTGATGGGAGTGGGAGTCCAAAACTGCTGGACGGCACCAAGCTGGGAAAAGGCTGCTTTAGCTGCTAAGTTCTGACAAATCTGCAATACTAAAATCCGTCATGAATTCTTATAATGAGGTTTTGTCACAAGGTTTGATGTGTTGGAAGATGATAGAACAAAAATGCCACTGTCTCCATTTATACCCTTTAGGTTGGAGTATAAATATTCTAAACTGGTGATGACAGCAAATTCAAAAGAATGTGAGCTTCCTGCTGCTGACAGCTGCGCGATCATGGAAGGGGAAGATAACGAGGAAGAAATAGTATATTCGAACAAACAGTCATTACTAGGAAAACTCAAATCATTGGCAACCAAGGTGAGCAGCTGCTGTCAGTAATTTGCAGCTATATATCGTTTCCAGGCTATTTTTTAAGTGTGCAGGTTGATATGCCATTTTTTTATTGGTTCTGGCAACAAAGCAGCATGGCTGAATTACTCCCTGCTATTCCCATGGAACGGATGGGAGATAAGGATGTCTATTTATCTGAAGTACTTGCATCCCAACCTCACCAAGATCTGAAGGTGGCTAACAGAAAACCACAAAATAGGTGTTTAGACAGTAAAAGCTTTCAAAATAAAATGGTTTTTCTATGAAGGTTGTGAGGCCAAATAATCAAATGAATAAAAGCTTTGCTTCAAAGAGCATATATATTGATTTTCTCAAGGCTTCCGATATGTTGATTTGAGAAGTGAGATTTTGAGATTCAAGTCCAGCTCTGTTTCCTGGATGGTGTTGACTTTAAAAAAACAAGCAAGCAAACCATGAATATATTAACTAGCCCACATGGATTTTCAGTCTGCAAATGCATGTTGCTTTGGGGTTTTTCACACGTTACATAAAGGGCAAACCTTGGTTTTGCCACTTAAAGTATACTAGGCAGTGAGTGACAGCCAGTCCTGGGTCTGAAATGAGTTTGTGTGCATGATGCATATCTTTGCAACATGGGTGTCCACATGTTTTGTTTACAGTTTACCTTTTCAAATGTATAATTAACATAGCATCATACCCCAAACTGTAAAGAAATTCTTAGTCCCTGGCCTGAAATAATTTCTTAGTTAAACATTCTATTCTATTCTATTCTATTCTATTCTATTCTATTCTATTCTATTCTATTCTATTCAGTGGATATATGTGTTTGGCAAAACTGAGCCTTACTTAACTTGTCTTTGGAATGGGCCCAATGAGCAGCCTGGGAGCATCTGGGACTGTAATGCTGCTGAACAGATCACATCCTTATGGGAGATGATCAGGAGCCCTCTGTGTGAATGGGATCTGTGCATCATATCTATATCTGTTTCTATAATATAAGCACTTATCTCTTTGCTATGCAGGAAAAGGAAGACCGCTTTGAATCTGTTCAGCTGAAATCCTCAAGATCTCAAAATATATGAAGACTTTAACTCTGCCTTTGAACCAACAAACCTGATCTTGATTTAAGCAGGAGCACATTTCTAACATGTCCTGGTTTGTGTCTGAAGGGTGGTTTCCTGTGGGAAATGTTGCACAGTCCAACATGAAGAAACCAGCAGGGAAGAACACGAGAGACTGTTGCCTTATTGTGAGACTGAGTCACTTGCCAAAAAGGAAAGTCAAGCAGATGAGCTCATGAGCTGGGAATGAAGGTCTGCTCAGGGACAAAGGAAACATGGGCAGTGGCAGCCCAAGATGTTTGGGCACTTGCTGCAGAAAACCCAAAATGGCACCTCCCAGAGTAGTAACAATATATTAAGAAAGACAGAAGATGGTTTGCGGCCCTTTAATGTTCTCTGCCCCTGTGAGGTGGGTTGCTTCACCCTGTACTGCCTAAGAAAGAGGTCATATCCTGACATGAAGTTTACATGGCATGGCACATGCTTCATTATTTGTATCCCCTTTTAGTCCCAATCACTTTTGTCACTTAGCCGAAACAGAGACTGGCTTTTGGAAAGAATAGAGATGATTCCTTAGTCACTACAGGTATCTGTGGAGGTGGCAGGATCCTGGCTTTCTCTTGAAATCACACCACTAGTCACTACTTGAAACCGAAGACCTGCAGACAGGCTTCTTTTTACTCCTCAGAAAGGAGAGTGCTTGTAATGTAAATCTGTAGTGTTTTGCCTCACATTAAGAATTCAGCTTCTGCTCCTGCAGAATCAACTTCTGGAGTGAAAAGACATCATTAAAATGCAAGGCCTCTGAAAGGCTAGCAGTACAATCCTGTGTACGTTTACTCAGATGTGGAGTTTTCTCCTGTGTAAGGATGTTGTTTAGGATTGCAGCTTCACTTGAAGGTCACTTTGCTAGTTGAGGAACATGGCGAGACTTAAGACGTCTAGCTTGGAGGGTCGTCAGGTGGATGTAACTCCCCATGGCAAGCCCTTTTGGGATGGAGCAATGCTTCCCATTCCAAATGGTGCAGTGACATGGTCAAGATTGTTGCAAGCGTGTAGGCTGGATGCAAGGGGCAGCTTTGATCGAGTTTCATGTCAAGCAGCAACCGTATAGCTTTTGGCATTTAAGAAATGACCCTTAAGGACCCTTAATGTTCAGAAACTAAAAAGGAGAAGGGATCCCGAAGAGGTCAGCCACTTTGCACACTGCACCGGGGCAATGCATGAGTGCTTCTGTAAGTCATTCCTCAACCTGGGAGGAAATATTCGATCCAAATTTGACATGTTTGGGCCTCAAAAGAGAGACATTGATATGCTCTGGTGTTCCTGTGACTTCTCTGCCTCTTTTTGTTAGATTTTCTTAGGTGGGAGACTTGACCCTTTTGAAATGAAAAGTAATGTCTGAAGTAGCCCCTGGTCTAATGACTGGGAAGCACTGCAGTCGGGTCCTAATGCAGTCACCAAAACAGAACTTCTTACACTGGAGCTTGTATTGTAAATTCAAAGTCTGCGGACTAATCTGAAGCAGGTGAAGGCAGCGTCAACCCCTGGATGTGTCCCCTTCCAAACCTCCCTCTGCCCCACCCCACTGACTTACAGGTGAGTTGCCCCAGAGGACTAGCCTGATGACTTGAGCGCCAAGTGCGGAATGCCCAGGGGCACCTTCAACAGGGTAGCGGGAGATGGCCCGTCCGCAGATACAGCAGCAGTAATCTATCAGTGGTGACCATGGCTTCATCAGCTGAAAAGATTATGACTTTGACCACGGAAATCATTCTGAGTCACTGCAACTGTATCCGTAGCTGAGTGACTCTTGCCTTGGCTCTGGATGCATTGAGTGGAGTCTAGTTTGACCACATGAAAATATGTGGCTTCGTCATTTGGCTTCCTCATATGAGAGCTCAGTTTCCTTTAACCCAGCAAGTTTTATTGCTCTGCCTGTAGTTCACCAAGGGCCTTGGCCTGAGATCTTTCCCAGCCCCATCTCAGATAAGGGGGATTGACAATGGAACCGTCTGTACATTTCATGTGCTCTGTGCACAGCTATGGACCCTCCCTGCCCCACATGAACCAGCTTGTGGAAATTCTTTATGGAGATCATTTACATTTTTCTCTTATCTGTAGTCCTCAAGTAGAGCTGCTCTTCCCTCTTCTTCAGGGATTGATTAAGAGGTAGAAATAACTGCACCCTCAGAGTTGTACGCATGGTACTTCTGTTTTCTCTAAGCCATGGATTTCCGTGAAGGTATTTGGGAAAGATCTGGCAATCTTCCGTAGGCAGTGTGTGCTGCCCCTAGGCCATTATTTCCCAAAACATCCCCCATGTTTGGTATTTATTGCAACAGCATTGTAGTGGTATACCTGTCTGATACTAAGGCCATGTGTAATAAAGCCATTTTATAGTGTCGTCCATGGTTAAAGTGTACCATCTAATTGGGCCATCTCGGAGGCAGGCAAGGTGGGGAATTTGTTGGAATCCCCAAAACAGCCTTTGGCAACCGGGTGCCCTCCAGATGTTTTGGACCACAACTCTCATCAGCCCCATCTGAGTCCGACAAAGAGACCTCTGCCCACAACAACGTTGTGCTTCTTTCTTTGACTTCCAGCTTCGCACATCCCGTTTCATTCAGGTAGATCCAATGAGGGACCCCCAAGGCCAGCCCTGGATGCATTGGACTAATTGATGTCATCGGCTGTGATTGAGTGCCTGCTATGCACTGAAGTTTCCTTTTCTGCTTTTTAGAAGCTAAGAAATCTACAACAAAACGGAGTGCTCCTCTTTAGTGTACCAGCCAGCCGTTCCATTCCGTTCCCCTTCCCTCCAAGTTTTCATTTCTCACCCAACAGGCACAGAGCCCTCTCTCCCTACTTCTGTAAATCTTGGGGTTTCTCAAAGCATGCTAATAACTCCCTCTTGTTTCTAAACCAGGCAACTCCCAGTTTAGGTGCATCCAATACGCGCATAACCATGCACATGCGCACAGCACTGAACCCAAAAATGACCCCCCAAAGTCATAAAGACATCACTGAAACATCACTAAAAGGTTGAAATGGGGGTGGAGCAGAGGCAGAGGCAGAACAGGGTGCTTGCAGGCTTTTTAAATGGGTGTTTGATGACATGTGATTTCACGCATTGATCTGGAATGCAACCTGTGCACCAACAGGGAGTTGCCTGCAGTCCTGTTTTGGTCTCATGTTGTAACTTTGCGCTTCACTTTGCTGTTGGCACATACCACCTCTTTGCTAAAGAGCATTGAATTCTGCCTAGCAAGGAAGTTCTACAAGTAACTTTAATTTTTGGAGGGCAAAATTTGGTACCCACCATATGCCCAGTCCACCTGAATAAAAACCAAACTAATTTCACCTCAGTCAGATGTTCACACTTGAAACATTATACAGTGCTCCCATTGCTTTGTCAAGTTATCTGTTCTTAAACTTTTATAATAGCTGTTTGTCTCATAAAGTTCTCTTTTGTTATTTGAGTTACCGTATACCACCTACTCATAATGGACAAATACGGTTTAGACCTCTCTTAGCACATAGCGCAGGTATGAAACTCCAAAGTGTAAAAACTGCCCTTCGTTGAACTTGGGAGGCAAGGGAGCTCCAGCTGGATACTGGAGCCAGTTGTCAGTCAACGTATACTGGGTAGAGGGAAATCAGAATTAGAAGTTATTTGCCTCCCAAAGTCTCGGTATCCAGAAAAGCAAAACTCCTGTTTCTGAGACCAATCCAAAATGCTGGTCAATAAAAGTCCAAAATAGTTTGGGACTAGGATGTTGACAAGGTCATTTTCTCACACAAGATCCTGCCTATTTATTCACCTCTTTGGTTGATGCTCTGGGTCAGGATCCCAATGGCTAGTGGACATCTTGGCCTGGGGGCCTATTCTGGCACTTTTCTCTGTTGATATTTAGATTTCCAATGAAGACTTGTTTGTTCCATCCCAGAGAAGATCTTAACTATATTTTACCAGCTCAAGTTGAGTTGACTCTTCAATTTTGTTGTGGGTGGGTGTGCTGCTGACGCTGTTTTAATTTTATTAATTTTAAATATCACTTTATATTTTATTGTGATCTTATAAAATGGTGGAAGTTACTCATTGTGGCAGGATACACATATATTTTAAATAAATAAGTAAATTTGTTTTCCTTTTCTCTCTTCCCCTAAAGAACAAGGTATGGTTATTTCTAGTTTCCCCCAAAGTGAAGACCTTTGCTTTCTTAATAGCCTCCCTGGGCAAACACGTTGCCTTATCGCTGCTGAGATACGAGGGGATTGGGGGGAAATACCCCTAGTTTTCATCATACACCATTTCACTGTTCATTTCCAAAGCACCTTCATGTTTATTACTGCCACCACTCAACATTTGTCAAATGATTATTTTTTTCCATTAAACCTTGCAGATAACACACCCCTCTATGCTCACATCAGTTTCCTTTCAAATTTGGAACACCCAATTTCATCCTTCAAAGATTAACATGTTATTAACATGTTAATAGTGCTTCTCTGTGTCTGATTGGGTCTCTGTCTCTGCTGTTATGCATTTATTGAACCTGGGGGAGGAGGCCCATAGTTCCCTGGACAAGAACACATTTTCAACATTTTGAACTGATCAAGAGTGAAAGGGCAGGAGCAAGGAGTCCTGATTATTGGCTGGTATTCAGAGCTGAGAGGAAGACCTCACTAGTCCCACATGAACAGCACAGGAAGCATGGATAAAGCTCTGTTCTGATTATGCAGAACAGAATTTCTATTTGTTTGTTTGTTTATTCATAAAAGTATTTCTGTACTGCTGTCTCATAAAATATCAGGGTAGTGTCCAACAATGTGGAGACAAGAGAACATAGAACCTATTAAAACAGTACAAATTTGGAGTGAGAAGCTGGAGACTCCTAGCCGCCGCCGTCTTCATGATGGACCTCGGGAGGGTCTCTCCTGCGCAGACAGACCAGCCTCAGCCTCTAGATGCCACTTGGAGCACCAGCCATGCCCTGACAATCAGTGTCCGTCTGGAGGCAGCCCTGCATGTGGAAAGGTCTCTCTCCATGGAGACTTGAACCTTAATTGAAAAGTTTTGCATCCCATGGAGGGAGCCCCATGTGACTCCATACTTCCAGGCTGATGTCACTTCCATGATGGCTGTGGTGCATGATGTAGGCATCTAGGAGTCAGGGATAGCCCATGCCTGCATGGATGTTCATATGGAATGCCTGAAAAGGGCTTCTGTCAGAGCCTCTTTTTTCTTCAAGCTATGTATTACATAAGCCCTTGCCTGCCTTTTCTGTGGGATGGTGTCTGAGAATGATGTCATCAAGGGCAGCATCAGGGACCAGAGATGAAACACTTGGTGGAGAAAAACGGTTTAGCCTTGGGGCTGCCCATTGTCTAGGGCAGAAAGGCTGGTGAAAGTTTCAGCATGAAATGGCACATTTTGGAAGCATGGTTATAACATAACTTTTTATAACTCTAGAGTGGTTCATGGAAGCTACTTAAAAGTTTCTCCAAAAATCTGAGTCTGAGATTTTCCCAATTGAATTTTGATTGTGCAACTGGAATCTCTCTTGTATCATGTGTAGCCATATTGGTTATTAAATTGCTGCTGTTTTCATTTCTTTTTCTTTTTTCTTTTTTGGAGATGGGGGAGGTTGTTAAAACTCTTTATTTTAACTAATAAATGTCTACATTTATTCAGCTAATTTAACTGACATTGAGTAATTCTTCATATCACACTCACCAGTCAAATCTGTACATAGAGGACCAATTTCCATCCCCCATTACATTTGTGTGTACAGCGCTCCCAGCCTTGGAGAGAGAGACTAATAGTCACCTGTAAATTGCAAACTCATCAGGGCAGGGACCGGTCTTTTACTTATCTTACTCTGCAAAATGTTTTTGTTCATTGATGCCTCTTAATAATAATAATAATAATAATAATAATAATAATAATAATAATATTTATGCATTGGAGGTACAGGCTGCCCCAACACAAGAGTTTCTTGCAGATAAGACGACATTGTTTGTTTGTTTTTAAAAATTTATACCCCACCCTTCATTGTTAAACAATCTCAGGATGGGCCACAACATACAACATACATGAAGTTAAAATCAGATACAAAATTACAGAGCAAATGAATCACTGTATAAAACTCAGCATACACCATTTCACATGGGCCAAATCTGTTTACTCAAAAGGTCTGATGGAAATTGAAATGTTTTCACTTGCCACCCAAAACTGAACAGTGTTGATGCTGATCCAACCTCCAGGATAAGAATGTTTCACATCCGGGATGCCATCACCAAGAAGGCCCTATTATGAGTTCTAAAAGGCTGAGCCTTGCTTGGTAATCGCACAATGAAAAGGGCTTCCCTGGTAGATCTCAAGTAACAGACAGGATGTTACAATATTTAATTATGGGTGAAATCCAACTAAGTTATACATGCAGTTAATCCATTGAAATCAGTGGATCTACTTGAGTGTGATTAATCTTGGGCAGAACCCCAATATTTTACTCCTTTACTCTGCCAAGGAAGCCTCAATATGGTACTAGCAAATATAGGGAAACAGCAATAAAATAGGAAATTGCTCAACATGTTTCAGTGGAAACCTTCAGGTGCACAAAATTTCAATTTGTCAAGTTAACCAGCAAGGTAGCGTTGCCTTACCATAATAACAGGACTAGCCCATCACTGTTGACTGCCTCTTTTATGTGCTCAGATTTAAAGCAGTTGCCATTTACCTCTGGGGGTAATTCTTCTAAGCTTTGTGAATTATATGCCCCCATTTTTGGGTGAGTATTCAGTGTCATGGTGCAAGCATGTGGACTACTACCTGCACCGGCAAGGAACTCTGGCTGCACCAGGCTGACAGTTGCCACCCTATGAAGTCTGCTCCACAGAGGCTTCCCCCTGGTGACCATAACCTGCAGATATGATGGCTCAAGATATTTTGGTGCCAAAAGATTGAAAGAGCCAAATGAAGGGGTCCTTTAATCTCAGCACCTGTCCTAGTGGTTAAAAATAAATGATTGACATTTGCAACCCTCAAAACTGTCACCTGAAATGGGATACCTCACCCTTACAATAAAGGCCAGCCTTGATAATATGTAGACCAGACCCGAAGAATCCACAAAGAGCTTTGTAAGCTGGTTAGGATCACCCAGGTTAGTAAAACTGTTATCCTCTGAATGTAGAGCAATTTATAAATTCTGAAATAAAATAATAAATAAAACCAGTATAAAATAACTGCTCTGTTAAGGCAGATTTATCATTACACCTGCTGGGGAAGAAATTTAGTAACCTCTTAGCGGGGAAAAGGGCAATTATGCTGAAAAGCTTTTCAGGTTTTATTATTGACAACTTTACATTAATTAATACAGCTGTGAAAACCATTTGCTGCACAGAATGTAACCATAATATACAACATAGAAATGCGGTCTAAGTAAATTACAACAAGGAATTACAAAAAGTCTCATTAGAAAGAAAGCCACCAAACATGGCAGCCGACCTTCCGCTCACTGCGGAGTCAACATGGTGGCACAGCAACATCCCTTAGAACAGTTAATCACAGAAGGCTCTAAATTTGTTCTAAAAAGAACATCACTATATACTGTACAGTCCTCAAAAATAATTTATTACACTGTTTCTAGAAAAAAAAGCTAGTCTTTTTTTTTAAAAAATGTTCTTTTTCCAGAGTCCACAAGAAATGTGCAATTCTTCCCAGCTGTCTAGGAATGGCAGCGCCAGCTGTATGATCACAGAGATGAGGTGGTGGAATCCACAACTTCTCTTCCATTGCAGACGGTTGGCACATACACATTGGCAGAGGCTGAAAGAGAAACATTGCCAGGAGCTACAGAGAGTTCTTAATACAAGTGCAATTTTTTTGCTCTTGAAATGATGAAGAGGAGAACTAAATGCCTTAACACCAGACAGATGATAATACAGAAAGAGCCATTAGGACTGCATAATAGTAGGGCATCCTATTTAAAATGTGGGGTTTTTTGGGGGGGGTTATTGGGTTGTTTCTTTCATTTTGATTATATATTTTGTGGTTTTATATTCTTATTTTGTTCTGTGAACCGCCCTGAGACCTTCGGGTATAGGGCGGTATATAAATTAAATAAATAAAATAATAAATAATAAATGTAGGCCAGTTTAAAAAAAATACCATAAATATGAAGTGTGGAATCCTGAGAATTGCAGTGGCTAGAGATTTCTAGCAAATAAGTCTCAGCACTTTCAAAATCCTCTGGCTTATGTAATGCCTCTTTCCAGTAATCAGTTGCTTTCAGTTTATTAGAGCCCAGTCAAAGGAAGATTTGCCCCCGTCTTGGGCTGGGTGAGTTCAGGTGCTCACCTCCAGTCTCTTGCCTCAGGAGACATCAGGGAGAGTTGTCCCTTGGCAACTGCAAGCAAGGCAGGATTTGTCCCCCTCATGGCCTGAGCACCATTCAGCTGCTCAGATCCACTCCCTCACCTAGATGGCCACTGAAGGGTGAAGACCAAGGATGAGGGAGGGAAATGTTGCCCCAGGGAGCTGCTAGGCACCTAAGAAGCAACATGTTATTGAACTAGTGCGTGCTTTTCTTGTGCAAGACACTTTTAAAGCCTCTCGGGGATAAAAAGTGAGAAATAAGTATTGCAACTAAGTAAACCAATTGTTCAATCAAACTACCACTGGTTCAGGTGACTGATCTACCAATTAAACCTCACACACCTCGCTTTTATAGATATAAATGGAAGGTGACGCTTGTCCAAAGGAACTCAATGAATTCTTGCACTGTGTATCCAGGACTCTGATCAGCCGGATCATGCAGGCTTTGAGCATGTGTCTTGTGTGCGTGTTTAAGGGTTGAAAGAAAATATAAAGGGAATACCCTTATTTTCTCACACATCCATATACCAGTTGTTTCTCCGGTGCTGTTTGTTAACAACTGCATGAGAGGCAGAAATTCAGCAGGTGAAGGGCTTCGTCCATCCTGTATGCCTGACCAGCTCCCCTTGGATTCCTGCCTCTTCTGTGGCTCTCAGCAAGCTGGTTGCTTTAGAAGTCTCTTTAAAAAACAACCTAGTTGCGTCTGTTCCATTTCTGGAACTTGGGGTTTTAAAAAATAAAAATAAAACCAATGCTGGTTTTTTATTGCTTGCTTTCAACCAGAGGCGGATTTAGAGCAGCGCAACAGCTTCCTCCGGACTGGGTGCTGGGCAAAGGGGGCACTGCAGGGCATCACAACTAGGATGCAGTGAACTGAGCAGAACGGAAGGGGAAAGACAGCTGGGGCAGTTTTTGCCTTGCACAGGGTGCTGCTGAAATTTGAAAGACCCAAGCCCCCCCCCCCTGTTTCAATACTGGGTGTTACAGTTGCTACTTCCCACCTGCCTTGGCACTGTTTATTTCAAAATTCAATTACTGTAAACCACGACCGAGAAATCGCAGCCCCCTGGGACCAAATGTGTTCCTCCAGGCATGTCCAGCCCTGGCTGGAAAATGTCCTCAAATAAAGTGTCTTACTTTGTTGAAGGGGGGGGGGCATGTTATACGCCCTTGCACATAGCAACTTGCCTCCTGCACAAAGGTAGAATTCACATGTGCTTCTCTGCCCACTTTTGTCTCTGCCTGCTCCCCCCACCCCACCAAGTGATGGAGAAGTTAGGAGAGCAAGAAGGGGGGGGAGGCGCTGAAAGCAGCAGCCATGTTCTTTAATTACCTTGGGAATAAGTGGTTCCTGTTCCGCTGACGCTGAACCTGTTGAGATGCAGCCTGTGCGTGACCACATTCTTCTGTGGCTGGAAGAGGACAATATGCACTTTGGGGGCAAACAGACACCCCAAGACAACAAAGCCGCTGAGACTTACGGAGATGCACATGGTTGTCGTCTGAACCTGCATGGAGAAAAACCAGAAGGGTCAGCAGGGATGAATTCTGAATTTCCAATACAAACACAATATCAGACCAGAGGCCAATGGGATGCCTATGGGAAACTCACAAGCAGGGTGGGAATGCAAAAGCACTCACACTGCCGCCATGATGAGCAGACATACAGGAAGAGAAACTCAATCCCTTTTGGAACATAGGAGCAGAAGACCAAAAATATGTCCCAGTGGATCAGATCAAGAGTTCATGTAGTCCAGCATGAACAATCTCCAACAATAGTTGAATGCCTTCACACCCTGCTTGAAATTTTCCTGCAAGCAGCAGACTTTTACAATTGTTTGTCCTTGAGCCATTAATGTTCAGACCCAAGCTGCTGCTGAATAGTATTGATCAAATTTCCACCCAAGTGCTTATACTTCCAACTACCATCTCATATATGCTTTCCCTCCAGCACTACAAAGATGACATCCAGATCTATTGGTAGAGCATGAGACACTTAATCTTAGGGTCATGGGTTTGAGCCCCACATTAGGCAAAAAGATTCCTGCATTTACTTGGGTAAATGTAATGACCTTACTCTCATGCTAAGTGCCAAACTTTGTGTGATGTTAAGTGTGTTTAAGTTGTGTAAATGTCAAGTGTGAGGGAACCCAATCAGGTTCAGAACTGCAGGTTTCATTTTCTTCCTACACCAACATAGTCCCAACAAAATTGTCCCCCCAAAGCTGCTGTTTGTCTTGGAAGGGAAACCGGGGTGGTGGAGTGATTTTTCATTTGGACCACAGTTGATGAGAAGAAAAGTTAAACCCCCCTCTCTTTGAACCCAAAGCCCCAATCCTGCATTAGCATCCTGTGTATTCTAAGAAGCAGTGGCTGAGATTCTCCTGTTCCAGGATACACTGCTCCCTAGCCACTACACATAAAAACAGCAGACTTTCATTGGTTAATCTGAGCAGAATATTTAATATTGCACTGGATCTGGCTAAAATGATGGTGGAAACTTACCCTGTAGTCACTTGATGTCACATAAAAGATTGGCAGAAAGGCCAGCCAAATAATGCATGTCGTATACATTGTAAAGCCAATAAATTTGGCTTCATTGAAGTTTTCTGGGCACTTCCTTGTTTTGAAGGCATACACAGTGCATAAGACTACAAGGATCACATCATACATTAAGGAGATCAACATACTAGAATCCTTGACATTGCACTTCAATATGACAGTCTGCCTTTTCTCAGGGATGGTGTATCGACGAGTGCCCGGGGCCTCCAAAATCAGCCACACAGACACCACCACAATCTGCACCATGATAAGGCTCAGGCAAATGAGGACCTGAGAACGTGGGCTGATGAATTTAGGCCTCTGAGCCCCGTTCTTCACCCCATTGAATATTCTGGCAATGCAGTTCGTTTTCGTCAGGAGGGCAGCATAGCACGTGGCAAACGATGTGCCCAGGCCCAGACGGCGCAAGGTGCAAATGGCTGGCGAGGGCTTGGCAATAAAGAAGAAGGTCATGCTGTAGGAGAGGAAGACTCCAAAGAGGAGGATGTAGCAAAGCTCACGGCTTGAAGCTTTGACCAAAGGAGTGTTGTTGTGCTTTATGAAGACCCCCACAACTAGGAAAGTACAAACAAAGCCCAGGCATGCGATAGTCACAGGACCTATGGCCCAGGCATCTTCCCACTTGATGTAATCTTCCGGTAAGTCATAACAGCTGGTGAGATCCGTAGAGGGCCATTGCCCAAGTCCACAATCTGAGCAGGTGAATTCGTCAGCAAGGTACTCGAAAGGTTCACAGGGAATACAAATCCAACAGCAGACATCTCCTGGCTGCATGTTCTTCATCTCATTAGGTTGGCAGGGGTCACTGCACTGGGCAGTTGGAACAACATCTGTGGACCATTGGATGGAGTCTACATCGAGGGTCAAAGTTTCTGCCCACTGGCCGATCTTTAAGTAGGCATATTTACCACCATTGTGCTGGAAATTGAAGACATTGTATCGGCCTATCCCATCACCGTAAATATCAAATTTAACAGTGTTGTCTGCAGATTTGGAAGAACTGAATGGAGCTGCCAGAAATAAGAGAGAGAAAACAATGTTTCTAGTCTATGCATTTGCCCTTCTTTTCAGCGTGCATAAACAATCAATTTCATTTTTTGTCAACAGAGCTTAAACAAACCTAAAACCAGCAAAGAAATAATTTTGCATAAACTAATCTTCTAATCATTTGTACAGAGTTATGGTTTTGTTCGTTTTTTACCATATTTTTCGCCCTATAGGACGCACTTCCCCCCCTCCAAAAATGAAGGGGAAATGTGTGTGCGTCCTATGGGGCGAATGCAGGCTTTCGCTGAAGCCTGGAGAGCGAGAGGGGTTGGTGCGCACCGACCCCTCTCGCTCTCCAGGCTTCAGGAAGCTATCCGCAAGCCTTGGGAGCCCGCGGGAGTTTCCGTTGGGCTCCCTAGGCTTGCGGATAGCAGCCTGCATCTCGAAGCCTGGGGCGCACTGCACAGCGCACCCCGGGCTTCGGTTCCCCGACCTGGTTTGGAGGCTGGCGGGGGGGGGGGGGAGAAGCGTGCTTCTCCCCACCGCCAGCCCCACAAGCTGCGGGACATCAAAGTGTTGTGCCTCAAAATAGGACGGCCCTCAAAATAAACGGTTGAGGCCTCCTTCATACATCCTGGATGTTACAGGTCTGATGACTATTTGCATCTGTGATGCAGCCCCATATACTTACAACAGCATCACGGCTGCAAGGAGCCCTGGGATGTGTAGTTCCAGGTGCCTGACATTCCAATTAAGAGTTCTCACCTATGGCAAACTGGATGCTCCCAAGGTCTTTCAGGCACAGGATGCTTCTTCTGGAGTACTAGAGAGGAATGGAGACCTTGCAAAGAGGCCTCTCCATGGCTGTCATAATTGCTGCTCTAACCACGAAGTTTGGGGTGATGGGAAGAGGCAGCGGAGGACCCCCATGGGTGTGGCAGCTGGGGCAGCAGGAAGGGATGGGAGAGGTGTTCATGCCTCATGATCCCAATTATGTCTACTTTTACAGCAGAATGGAGAATTGTTACTCATTTCTGGAACATGATTCAGAAACAGTTGCCTCAGCTACGCCGTTGCTTCCTGAGAAACTACATTTTCTGCACATTCAACTCATAATTTTGAGTTGGGGAAGGTATGCTGTTCTCTCTGTCTTATACCCTCACACTCAACACATCCAAGGTTTTGCAATAATGAATTTTGCATGGATCATGAAGAACACGGGTGTCATGGGCAGAAGCAAGCTTTCCCCCATTGGCCACTAAGCTGCAGCCAAAATTGTCTCGAGGAATTGGTCACATTTTCAGATAACATTTTTAGACATGTTGTTAACATCTGTGAGGGATACACCTAAAAAATATATTGTCCCTTAGCCTTTCTCTACAGCAAGATGTCTGGTCACAAGACTGAGTCCTGCTATCTGGATTAAGCAACTGTAGACAAACAGATCACCCTTGCCGAGTTTTTAGAACTTCCAGAGACTTCCTTACACATTATCCATCAAGTGTTACTTGCACAGCCAATGTTTCTCTTACCCTTATTGTCTTGAAGACTTTGGGTTTTTGTGTGAAAGTAAAACTTTGATAGTAGGAGACTCAGGCAGAAGAAATAAAGAAATATTTATTATACAGTTGGTAAAACAAATGATTTGTCGGGAGATGAAGTTCTTTCAAGGAACAGTTAACTTAATAAACTAGCAAGTGTTTCAGGCTTCTAAACAAGGTAGTAAACATGGAGCTTCTTTTCAACTTCAGCTGCTTATTTTCAGTTAATACTCTTCAGTTCGATGTTACAGGTTTCCAGCCTAGATGGCCAATGCTCAGCTTCTCTCCCGTTATTTCACTTCAGCTCCTTCACTTAGTGGTTTGTGAAGGTGTTTCAGCTTAACACTTTGGCTCCTAAAGAAGGGGGGACTTTCCGTCAGTTTCCCAACCTTTCCTCACTGCCACTCCTGAGGTACTTCCATCCCAGGGGATCCAAGGGATCCCCATGCCCCTCTTAACTGGTCTGGGAGCTTCTCTGTCTAGAGGATCCCCCCCCTCCTGACTGACAGGAGACCCAAGGAGACTTTATCCTCACAGACTCTATTTCTCCTTGTTCAAACTCAGCCTGCCCGTTACTCCTGTCTGAATACTCTCCCAAGATACTACACTCGGTCTTTGTATCTAAGCTCAGAGACCCCTTTCTCTAGCTGTGGATATTCTGCTCCTCACAGTGGATGTTCCACACACGGACCAGAACCAACTCTGCAACTCTCCCTCCTGCTCTTTCCCTTCGTTAGACTATCAGCTTCTCTCTCCTTTTATTCTCCCTCCCAAAGTGCTGGCTCCACCCCGTTCTGACTAACTCTCTTGGCAGCCAATCAGAGAGAGGCGCCAGCCCTCTGGTGGAATTCTATGGCACTGCACCCCCAGGCTCTGGTCTGGCTCAGCTGTCTGTCACTGCAGTGTTAAAGATATATGCTTAATGTGCATAAAATGCTGTGCTTGAATATATTGTATTTGAAATGCTAGAAAGAGAAGTTTACATTAAGAGTTTAACTATAGTAAACATGCTAAGGAACGGTTGGGTGTTGAATGTTTCCGTTTGAGGGTTTAGGACAGCAGGAAATGTTGGAGGGGATGTTCTGTTATGATGAACCAGTTTATTATCTCTCTCTGGGACCAGAGAGAGGAAAGTTTACTGAACTGCATTAAGGACTAAAAAAGAAGATGGGACTGCATTGCTTGCTTGTTTCAGCATAAATTGTAACTGTGTATCTTTATAATATTTATATGTAGCTATTTTAAAGTAAAGCTTTGAAACTTTGGAGAGCAAATTCATTTCTATTCTGCACAAGGGTCAGGTCAGGGGTACCATTTGCAGCAACTCTAACAATCTGAACTGAAGAAAAGTTAATCTTAATTTTGTATCTCATTTCCATTGGCTGCCATTCCAATTTGCATTTCCTTTTTTATTTTTGGTGTGTCGGGGGGAGGAATTATGACAATATTATTAAAATGGGGAAAAAGGAATCAAAACTAAACATAGGTGTTTTTTTTAAGAAACATAATTATGTTTCATTTATAATTCCCAGACTGAAGGAACCTACTCTGAGATTTTAAACACTGATGCCTTGGGGTTGATAAGAGTCATTTAATTTGAAGTTATTCACTGTGGGAAATACCTTGCACAAAAGGAAGGAAGCATTGCAAGATAATTTATGCTAGCAATCAAATTCTAATTACAAAGGAAATTAAAAGCCCATTCCCCCTCCCCCTTCCCACAGCCTCACGCCACCTCTGGGCCTTTTGGAAAACCACTGTGTGATCCTTAAAAAGTTCCTCTGATGCACAATTCTGTGAAGTGGATGGAACGTGGGCCTGCAAATGTGTTTAGAGAGCCATACTTCATAGCAGGACCTAGTTCTGCTGTGAAGATTGATTTATAGCCTTGTTAAAGCAGCTAGCAATGCTCAGCCCACAGAACTTGATGATCTGACAAAACATGTTGTTTCACTCTGCCTTCACTGTGTACTCCGCCTTCATTGCGCACTTCTGACTGTGCTCAAAGGAAAATCCATAGTCTGGTTCAGGAATGAGGCTTGTTCAGACTTTTGCCTTCACAGTAACATCCTTTGTGTGCTGGGAAAAAGACTCACAACTCGGGAGCAAGTGCAGCTGACACCACTCAAAGGATGGAATCAGGTGTGAGCCACACTCTTTCATCCTTGCCAAAAAGGGAAAAGATAGCCATTAATGAAGTGAGACACACAAATTGGCATGTGCAAATTCCAGGTTCACATATGGTGTCTTTTGTGTGGGGCTGTGTCCACTTCTCAGGCCCACTCCCCTCAACTCAAAAGATCATGCCTGCCGACTGAAATGCCTAAATTGTCCCCTGCATGTGTGTGGCTTGACTGCAGCACCAAACAAGGCCAGGCATAGTTATGGCAGACTGTTTGACATTACTGTAAACCCCCAACCCCCAACTCTCATCAGGTGAAACTAGGGACATTTATCACTCCCCCCCCATGACCCTCCTTGACTGCCCAATTTGCACAGAGCGTTGCTACCAACGCTATACCCCCAGGGTACAGCACACTTTCCACTGTCCTGAGAAAGCCCCTTAATCCTGATGGTATTTTATTCTTTGTTAGATTTACAAAAAGAAAAACACCCACCAATAAATAAATATTTCTGTCCAGCCAAGCAAGTGGCATGATCAGAGGCCAAGGCTACATTCTAGCTGGGTAAAAGCACCCCTAGAGGGAGCCAAGCAAGGCAGGTGAAGTGGAGAGGGCCACACTGGGCATCCCATCCCAGAGTTCTTCACATCTGGCTTAGATGGCAGAGATGGCTTTTAAATTCCATAAAGGATGGATCTATCAACAGCTGTGTGCAGAGATTACTGAATGAAAACATCATGTTCAGAGATGGTATAACAGTTGTTTGGGAGAAACACAAAAACAACTTGTAGGTCATGACCGGAAATAGAATACAGGAATAAATGGGTGTTTGGTCTGTTTTAGAAGGGCTTTTCTTATAGGAAACAATTATTATTATTATTATTATTATTATTATTATTATTATTGTTATTGTTATTGTTATTGTTATTATTAATTTTACATACTGTCCATCTGACTGGATTTGACCCAGTCACTCTGGGTAGCTTCCAGCAAATTAAGGAAGGTAATGCCATGCAGGTAAAGAAATCCCCAGGGGCAGCAAGTGATAAACAGAAGTCAGTTTGTACTTCTCCTCCTCCTCTTCCTCCTCCTACTCGTAGGAATGAAAACAGGTGTGCTCAAAATGCTGCTCTTGCTAGACAGCGAAGGAGCCTGCAGATGGCACCAGAGAATAGTGCTGCATCTACACCGTGTAACTAAAAGGAAACGAAAGGAAAGGAAATTGCACTATTGGGAACTGGAGCTGGATTTCGTGAAGTGGGTACTTTTTACTGCAAGCTGTCTTGGAAGGATTTGGAGAGTAGGTCTGCTCTGAGCAGTTTGCTTCTTTATCTTCGGTAGCCAAAATTGCAACCGTCT